ACTGACCATTCACGCCCTTAGTTGGTGCCTTTCAGTAGTTATTTCTACTTCCTGGAATGTTCTCCCTGCCTGCGGCATATTTTAAATTGCATCTTAGCTTTCAAGTGACAGCTTCTGTGCAACAGTGAGGTTAGAAGGATGCGTAGCTAACAACACAGCTTCGAAATGCACGGAGTAAAAACAGGTAGAACTTAAAAGAGACTTGAACAGATGCCCATTTTTATCTGAAGACTTTAATACTCCTCTCTCAGGAACAGAGATAACTAGTAGTCATAAAATCAGCGAGGACTTAGAAGAACTGAACAACACCATCCCCCAGTTGGACTCGGTTTCACACCTTATAGGACCCTCCACCCAATGGCAACAAATGCACACTCTTCTCCACTGTGCGTGGAACACTCACCAAGACAGACGAGATCCCGGGCCACTGAACAACCTTTACAGCTAGAAAGAACTGAAGTCGTGCAAAATACCCTCTTGGACCATAATGGAATTAAACTACAGTCAATGACAGAAAGATGAATATCTGGAAAAGCCCCAAGTAGTTGGAAATTAAACAATCCACCTAATCCTTACAATCACCATGTGGGTGGATATTATGGTATTATTATTCTCAGTTACAAACTGTAAAACATATATTGATTGCATCTTTTTATTAGATATTTTATAATGCTGTATTTTATGTATTTTATTATATACCTTTCCTTCATTACACAGTTATTATATACGAGAGGAAGGAAGGCGCTGGCCCAAGGTCACTCAGCTGGTGAGTCCAGGGTCAGGAGCCGGGCCCCGCAGGCTGGCTGCAGACTCGCCGTCCGAATGCCGGACTTTGGAACGGCCTAGACCCTCCGACCAGTGTTCCCACGCATCAGATGATGCGGGTAATTCACCGAGCCTCATTTAAAATGACTCGGGACAGCCCTGGCTGGTGTAGCTCAGTGGATTGAGCGCAGGCCTGCAAACCACACAATCATGGTTCTATTCCCAGTCAGGGCACGGGCCTGGGTTGCAGGACAGTTCCCAGCAGGGGGTGCAGGAGAGGCAACCATACATTGATATTTCTCTCCTTCTCTCCTTCCCTTCCCCTCTAAAGATAAATTTTAAAAAATCTTTAAAAAAATGACTCAGGCCCTGGCTGGTCTAGCTCAGTGGATTGAGTGCGGGCCTGAAAACCAGACGATCGTGGTTCGATTCCCAGTCAAGGCACATACCAGGGTTTCGGGCCGGTCCCCTGAAGGCCAATTCCCAGCAGGGAACGCACTAGAAACAAGCATACATTGATGTTTCTCTCCCTCTCTCCTTCCCTTCCCCTCTAAAGATAAATAAATATAAATCTTAAAAAAAAATTGTTGTGGTTAAAAAAAAATGACTCAGGACACTTTTACTGGACAAGAAATACCAAAGTAACGCGTTTTGTCCCCCTGCGGGCACTTCTGAAGATGTATTTCCATTGTCTTCGGCCTCCACTGTTTCTGATCCTTGGTCTTCAATACATCACATGCCTTGCCTCTTCGGACACTCATTTCGGGTTTCAGCAGTTTGCTGATGATTGGCCTGATGGTATTTTTCTTTGAATTGGTCCTGCTTGGGATTTATTGAGCTTCTTGAGTCTATAGGTTGAAATACTTTTTACCAAACTTGGAAATTTGGGGGCCATTAGTTTCTTCAAATCACTGTTGAGCCACCTTCTCCATCCCTCCTCTTCTTCTGGGACCCCATGTTCAAGGTTGTCCCACAGGCAGGGAGGCTCCGCTCATTCTTTTCAAAGTCTTTTTATTCCATTTGCTTCAGCTTGAATGGCTTCTGTCTGTCTGACTTCAGATCCACTGATCCTTCCTTCTGCAGTTGAGTGCATTCAGTAAATGTTTCATTTCAAATTAAATGAATTATTAAATGAATTAAATTAAATGAATTATTTAATTCAAGGAGATCTAGTTGGCTCTTTTTAAAAATCTGGGAGCCCCTAGAACATAACCTCCATCTGGTTACCAGGGCAAGGCATTTTCTCCATTTTATTCACCGCTTTCTCCCCATTGCCTCGCCTTGGCAACAGGTTTGTTTGCGGGCAAATCCAGGACTCCCTGGGCCCGGCTATAGCTAATGAGATCAGGAATAAGCAGCTGACCTAGTAAAGAATGTTTGGAAACAAATGAGAGCTGGCGAGGTTCTTCTGCTGTTACTTTCAGTGTCTGATGACCTCAGGCTTTGCTGGGTCTTCTCATTGAAAACTCTGACTTTAAATTAAAGAAATAATCACTTCCTCAAAGGCTTTGTCTTTCCCTTTCGTGGAGGTCAGGGGGCAGTATACTTTCCTCTTTGTGTGGTTTGTCTGTCTGGTGTCTGACTCCTGCACTAGAGGGTAGGTAAACTCTAAGAGGGGCAGTTTTATCATTATCTACCTGTTCTATCATTATCATCGTGTCCCGGCACCCAGCAGAGTGATGGCAGATGCCAGGTGCTGAGTCAGTATTTGTTTCTCCTACTTTCTTTTTTTAAAAAATCTGTATTTAGGACAGTTGCTGATTGTATTAGTTTGCTTTCCAAAGCAGCAGACCCTGGAAACCCTAAGATAAGGATTCGAGTGCAAGCGGTTGATATTGGAAAGGACCCCAGGAAACACTGCCGTTGAGTGTGGCGCTAAGACAGGGAAAGGTACGTTAACAAGCACAGCACTGTGTGGACAACTGGACCTTAAGCCCAGTGGAGGATTCTGGGAGTCGGTGTGGGGTTGTCCCCCACAAAGGGCAAAGGTGCTCTGGCTTTTGTGCACCATTCCTGTCAGTCCTGGGTTGAGGGTGGCTGGGACTGGGGTGCGGCAGTTAACCCCCACGTACATTTACTCTGCCAAAGTGACATTCTCGGGGAGACAGACTCTGGGGCCAAAGAAAGACCTCAGACATCGGAAGTCCTGCCCTGGGGGACGGCGGGAAGGTGTGGGGAGACGTGCGTGTGTCCTGCAGCAGGTACGACAGGTAAAGTAGTAAGACAAACCTTTACTTTGGTGCATAAACATGAGTCTAAGGCACACGATAAATCACAGGTTTGGAACGAACCCAACTTGGGTTTCGTTATAAACTCTTCTAGGTACCTGTTTTGTGACCCTGAAGAAAATTACTCCAGTTCTCTGATTTTCAGTCCCGTCATTTATAAAAGAGCACGACGATGCCTGGGGCTGATGGGTGAGTAAATCAGCCGGTGCCTGGCACAGAGTCCGCACCAGAAAAGAGATGTATTTTCCTTGTCCTGGCCCTACGCCAAAACAATAAATTATGGAATGTCAGGTATCTGAACCAGAAGGAATTTGTATTGAGGGCATGAGGCAAAGGGAAGGGAATGTTCTGGCAATCTCAAATTCCATGCGGAGGGAACACCTCTTTGCCCTACTCCCTTAAGGTTTTAAGCTTAAGGGCCCAGGAGAGTGTAGTTCACAGAAACTCAGCCACCGGAGAAGTAGTTTCAGTGCGAGGATGACTCAGGAAGCAGTTCAGTCCAATATTTGGATATTTAGTCCATGAGAGGTCAGCAATTTTCACAACATCTTAGCTCACCTTAAGCATTTTAGGAAAATGTGTTTACTTTAACATAGATCGAGAGATTTGAGTCAGAAAACCCAAGTCCAGACGCTAGTTCTGCCAAGTTTTAGCTGTCACTGAACAAGTCATTTGACTTGATAAGCCTCAGTCTTCTCACCCACAGAAGAGAACTATACTTACTAACTCAAGAAATCTTTCATGAAATAAAAAACATTTGAGCCTATCTACTGGAAGGTCAGACTGTGGTCCCGGGAGACTCAGCCAGACGGCCCACACTCTGATTGAACATGTGGACAATATATAAAACAGAGGAGCCTAAAGGAGTTACACAAAGTTAACAACTGGGAAAAATCGCAAACCTTCCTAAATATTCAGACCGACAGGTGGACCAAAAGCAAAGCAAAGAAAAGGATTCACGTTATGGGAGCACATAAATATATCCATGTATATAAAAGCTTTATTACATTATTATGTTATGTCCTAAAAAGCAATAGGATATACTGTGTAAGAAAGGGAGAGTAAATATAATTAGGCACCTGAAAAAAACAAAAACCATGGGAGAAAGAACTTAAAATTTACAAAAATGATTCCCTATCGGGGTGGAGGTGGGATCACCGGGGACGACCAGCGTGGATACAAGACAAGTGAAATTTACTGCGTTGGATTGTTAGCAAACAGCAAATGGCTTACATAATTGAAAATGAATTAAAATTAATTAAAAAGCAAAGTATAAAGGAAAACCAAACAACGGGAAAAACACTGGAAGTGATAAGGTCATATGTACTGTGTATATTTATTGTTAAGTTGTGGCCTAACAATACAAAGAAAGCAAGTATTTAAGTGAAACTTTAAACAGCATTTTTACTATGTATTGTTAAAATCATACAATCTAAGGACACAAAGAAATGTATAAAATACAGTTAGTAGTGTTTTGGTCATATTGGTGTTCTTATTTTTAGACTGCTGTAGGTATTGTAGGGTAAAGCAAGCAAGTAATTGTTTCCATGTTGTTAGGAACTTAAATTTTCAGTATAAAAGAAAAGAGAAGCTAAAATAATTTTAATAAAAACACTATCGCCTTACATCTGAATTGGAAATGTCAGTATGAACTCATAATTTTAAAACAAATGTCAAAAGCATGCACATTCTTTTGTGATTCCACCTCAAAGTGGATCATAGACTTAAAAGTGAAAAAACTACAGTAGCCTTCCCAGGGTACGTTCTGAGACCCCCAGTGGATGCCCGAAACCGTGGTTAGCACCGACTCAACAACACACACTATGTTTTTTCCTACACACCCATACCTATGATGAAGTTTAACTTATAAATTAGGCAGAGATGAAGGATTACTTATAAAGCAGAACAATTACAATAATATGCCTTAATAAAGTCATGTGACTGTGGTCTCTCTCCCTGTCTTTCAAAATATCTGATTTTCCCCAGTGCCCGACTGTCCGTACTCACCCTGCCGGTGCTGACAGGCTGTGACGCAGGCCTCTGTGAGCAGAGGGAGAGGTGGGCGGCGCAGCTGGGGACACAACGCCAGCAGACCACGGGCCTTCTGACGACACCTGAGAAGAAGAATCATGGAGCTATGACGACGTCGCATCTCCCACACGTTTAACGCCCTTCCCGTGGTGACGGAACACCCCGCACGCACTGCGGCTGTGACTTTGGCAGTTTGCGATAGTAACACTAGCAGGAATTTCCCTTCCTTGCGATTTCACGGACCAGAGATTAGTCCTTCCTGCAGATGTAGGATCACCACCTGAGCAGGCAGTGTTTTAGTTAGCGACCTCAGCTAGCGACCTCAGCATTCGATTCTTTTCTTTCCTTCTCAGGTCAAGAACTTTCACCCTTTCCCCTCCAGGAAGCACTTGACAGCTTCCCTCTGACCCCTCCCGAAGGCCAGCCAGCATCACTCTTGCATCCTGGGAAAACTATCCCATAACTCCCCTGGTTTCTGATGTGACGACGTGTTCCAAACTCATCTTCATATTTCTTGTTTTCAGATATGGAATCCACGGTTTCTACAAGGATTAGCTGCCTTTTCATTCCATTCTTAGCAGGAAATACAGATTGTTTTAAAATTCTGCTCGATCAGTAAGTATATCCTTGTTCGACTCGAACAGGTAATAAAGTGCTCTCATTGTCAAAGTAGCTTCGTCCACCACGCGCCCATTTCCAGGACATAAATCCCTCTAAGCAGCCAGCAGGAGTCTGGACACTCTGGTCCAGAGGGCTTTCTCCTCATGGACTAAACCAACCAGGCAGCTGGTTTGGGATTCTCTCGCGTCTCCGTACCCAGCTGAGTCTCTGAGTTAATAAGGAACTGGTGAACTCTGGTATTCCGTCCATGTAACTGTCCTTTGTACCAGTCACATGCATCTAAGTTACCTGGCGGCCACTGACAGCTGTGTCCCCGAGCCCTGGGCTGGGCACCAGAGAGGACAGACCCGGAGAACAAAGCACTTCTGTCCAGTGGGAGCAAACGCACCCTGCAAGGTGTCACAAGGCCGACAGTCCGTCCGGGACAGGCGAGAGGGTCTGGAGGGTCACGGAAGGCCCCCAAAGGCTGTGGGGCCTCGAAGGGACGGTGCTCTGGGTCTGTCACACCATCTCCTGCCGCCGGGCCCCCATGTCCCTGCCTCCTCTGGCCACTGAGATGTGGGTGGACACTCCAGGTGTGGCCTTTAGGAGAAGGAATAATGAGCCCTCAAAAATTTATGTTTGTGTGTGTTCCCTGTGGGTCTCCCTCCCCCACCCCCATGCCTTGGCTTTTGTCCCTGGGCGAGATTCTGGGGGGCGGGGAGACATCTCTGTGGTCGCAGCTCACACGACATACCTGCACCCTGGGATGAAGTAGCACCTAACTGGTCTCAGACACCTAACAATGCCTTCGCCCGAAGGAGCTTCGGGGGCCCACTTGCAGACGTGTCGGGGCTTTTCAAGTCGTGTTGCTGGTGCTTATCCTCTGAGCAGAAGTTCCCGAGTAGGAAGCGAGTGCTCAGTGCAGGGAGGGGGGGACACCAACTCATAATCCCATCTCCTCCGCAACACACCCAGCCGTCACACCCCTTAGCTCCGGGGGACTGTCCTAGGCCACTAAAGAGCAGGGTCCTGCATGGGACCCATCGCCATTCCCTTAGAACTAGCATTCATCATTTTTTCTTGTTAGAAGAGAGCATGGTGACTACAAAAAACACTTGAAAACAGAGAAGATGGAGATCAAATCGCCTACAATCCAATCACCCAGAGTTGGGTGTGGCCCCCTGGGTATGTATGTCCCCTGGGGGGTGTTTTCGTCTGTCCTGCAGAACAAGGTCACAGCACATGCAATGTTTTGAACTTGCTTTTTTTCCCCTTAATGATATACAGTCACCATTTCCCTGTGTTATTAAATATTTCTCTGGGCCCAGGCCTACGTATTGGGAACAAAGGTGATTTCACCAGGCAGGAGGGCACTTCTTACACAGAAAGATGGGTCTGTCGGGGCCCAGGCCCTGCTGAGAGCTCTGAGCACCTGCCAGACCACACCGGAGAGGAGGAGGGAGGAGGAGGAACGTGGGCGGAGCAGCTCCCTGGGAGAGGAAACGCCAGGGGCGCCCAGTTTGCCAGGAGGCCCTGCCCACCCCCCACCCTGGCCCCTTGCTGCTCATCCCACTGCCAGCTCTTGGGGGGTAATGGCTGTCCTCGGGAATGCAGTTTCTCATGTGCCTTCCTTCAGTGGGACCACTGAAGCTGGGGGCAGAGGGAGGGTGCGGGTACACAGGCTGGGAGAGTTCCCCTGCAGACCCGGACACAGCTAGCAACACCCTTTCCCTTCTGGGCCATGTGCCCTTCTCAGGAGAACGGTACATTTAATGCTGCTTCATCTCCCAAGTGGGCTTTGCAAAACTCTCAGAAGGCATTGCACAGGGGAAATGCTGGTGAGGCCTGAGCACTGCCCTTGGGCCGGCTTCCTCCAAGTTGCAGCACCCTGTGTTAAGACGGAGGCAGTCACCAGCAGTGCAGACGTCCACCTGGGGGCTGCAATCCCACGCAGCTCAGCTGGGCTGCCACGGTGGGCAGGTGGCCAGGTCACTGCAGCACCGAGGCCCAGGCACAGGTGGGGTGCACAGGGCCCAGGGACCCCTGGCCTGAGAGCTGCACCCCAGGGCAGGAGTGGGGGCCCACACGCAACCAGCAGGGGCTCCTGAAGCTTGTTTCAGCTAAGTGCAGGAAACCCTTTTTCTTCCCCGCTGGGGTCCAATTTTAAAACATAAAGGCTTATTGTCCTGAGGTCACCCAGCCTGTCTGACGGCTTTGGGAAGTTCTTTCCGCACCGCAGAACCTGGAGTCAGCCAGCCACCCCGCGCAGGCGGTGCACAGGGCCATCCACCTCACAGCGAGCCCGGCTCTGACGCCGCGGCCTGCTTCCGTTTCCTGGGAGGGAGACGGAAGCAACAGGGAAAAGAAAGCTTCTGCTCACCCAGCAGGCTCAGACTTGACTTTGAGAGCAGAGAGCCCTGCACTGCCTGATAGGGGATGAGGGACTGCGAATCTGAAAAAGGAAAGGTGGCCCGTAGTTCTGTGCAGCGACAAAGGCTCTCTCCTTGGACCTGCCTTGAATCAGGCTCCTCTGAGCCCTCTGCCCCTCTAGGCCTGACCTTGGTCTTCCCTGTCGGTGGAGAAGCCTGTTTGAACCAGAATCCTTGGTCTCTGAGCCCCAGGTCTGCCTTCCCCGGGGACCCCCCTGCTGCTACTGCTTCAGTCTTAGCAATTTCCACCCACTGACCCCTCCCTGCTCCCAGGCTGTAAATCCCCAGCTGCCCTTGCTGTCCTGGGGGGCGAGTCCCATCTCTCCCTGCAAAACCCCACCCCACTGGAGGAACCCCTCTGCCTCCCCATCCTTAACAAGTGTCCTGAGTGTGCAGTGGATCCTCCATCAGCCAACAACTTCCTGTCTTTAAAGAGTTAATCTAGCCCTGGCTGCGTAACTCAGCTGGTTAGGGCTTCCCGCATGCTGAGACTGGGGGTTCAATTCCTGGTCAGAGAACAAACAAGAAGGAACCAATGAAAGCATAAATAACTGGAACAACAAATCAATGTTTCTGTCTCTCCCCACCCACTTCCTCTCTCTCTACAATCAATTAAAAAAACCCAAAGTATTTTGTAAGAGAACATAAAATAAGTGATTGACCATAATCACATCTTTCCTTCCCGCCAGGCTCTTGCACTGCTCTCCTGAGTGACACTTGGCGCATCTACATACCTGTCACGTTGATTTAAGCGCACACCGACCAAGGTTTGCTGGAGGGAGTGTCTGACGAGTGTGCAGAGCTGTCTTCCTGGTTTGATCTTTGCCGCTGGGCACTCCTCACGAACTTTATTTTTCAAAGTGGAGGTTGTAGACAGGAGGCACCGGCGTCTGCATCCCTTCGCTCAGGTGGAGCCAGGTGGCCCCCTTCAGAGGCACGGACAGCCACTCCCAAACCCGCCGAGGCCGGCACACAGACCTGATGCCCCCGTCTCCCGGCCAGGCCTTCACTCACGTGGTTCCTTCATGAGAATGAGGAGAAAGCAGTGAAACAAGCCAACAAAAGCCACAACCAATGCACGTGAACAACATTAGCGACAGAAGAAGGCACCAACTAATTCTGAAAATTATAGAATAAGGTTATTAAAAAATTCTCTCTTTCCTTGTAAGAACTTTATTTGTGGGGTAATTTAACAGACCTAAAGAAGGAGGGAGAAAGTTTGTATACAATTCTAGCTAATAAATGCAGAACAGCATTCTAAAATTGTATTTTGCAGCTCCTAACGGATTCAGTCAATTGCCAGATGGATGTGGACCGAAGCTTACAATAAAGGGACAATAAAGGTTGTCTTCCTTTCAACCCACTGAGCAATCTCAGCACCGCTCAAGGTGAGGCATCCAGACACTGTGTGTGGCGACAGGACACGCAGCATGTCACCTGTTAGGTGTAACTACAAAAAGAAAAGAGAAAGGCCGGCGGGCGTAAAGTGGGGGCTCGGGCAAGCTTTGCTCTCTAGCTCCCGCTGCTCGGGAACTACAGGGGATGGAAACCAGTTCAATGAGGCCCTGGGAGCAGTCGGCCAGCCAGACGGTGGACCATTTCACCGGGTAACTGCCCCGTTCCGTCAACACTTGAATAAGGAAGAAAGGGGGGAACTGTTCTACATTAAATGAAACTTGGAAAGAACTTAAGAGACATAATAATGGACCCTGTGTGGATGCTGATTTAAACAAACTGTAAAAGATGGCTTAATTGGTTAGAAAAATTATATATATATATGTATATATATAGCAAATTAGATGATCTTAAGAATTATTGGTAATTTATTAATAATGCACTATGGTTATGTTTTCAAAAGTCCTCATATTTATGGGTGAACTCACACGAGGGGATTAGGTGTTGGCACAGGACTATGTAGATGGGAGACGGCGAAGTGTTTTTGGCTCCTGAAGCCGAGTACAAGCACGTCAATGTGGTGTAGCCTGTCCTTTTCTGTATGTTTGGAAATTTTCACAACAGAAAATAAAATGCAATAAAGGATGGTAATCAGAGTGGAGAAAACACCATATATGTCGTCTGAGCAGCTAACACCTCTGATAAAAATCACGGGCTATCACAGATTCCTCCTGCCCTGTGTTCAAATAATTCAGTACTGCACCCTGGTCAGGTGGCTCAGTTGGTTTGGTCCTGTGCGCCAAGAAGTTGTTGCAGGTTTGATCCCCAGTCGAGGCACATACAGGAGGCAACCAGTATTTCTTCCTCCCCCTCTTCCTTTGTTCTCTCTCTAAAATCAATGAACATATCCTTGGGTGAGAATTAAAGAAATAATTCAATGTTTCATCTTGAATAGAGAGCTTTTTTTGTTAAATTTGGCTTTGGAGATTCAATCCTTTGTCCAGACAATGATAGCTGCGTATCACCCAACACCAAAACATTTTCCAAACTACAATTCTGCAATCTGATGAACGTTATACAGCTAGAAAAGTGACAAGCTTCACCCCCAAATCCTCTAATACCAACCGATAAATCCTTGCTCTCCAGAAACACTGGTGGCGACAGCAGCAGCAGCCAGCACCTTTGCCGTTTGAAGTGAGTTTCATCCCGTCTAATTCTCTCATCACTGCACGTGAACCTCCCAGGAGGGAAACCGCCTCCAGCTGGACCCAGGTCGGTCTGTGCGGAGAGCACCGGGCATGCGCAGTGCGTGCAGAGCGCTCAGGGCACCGCCAGCCAGCAGCGTCGTCATCACCTCCGGGAAGGCTCTTCCTTGCTCTGTTTATTTTACAAACGTTTACGTGTCCTCCAAAACTCAGCTCACACACATTATTTGTTTAAGGATGACAGACATGCACTCCCATTCGAGAAAAGCACAGAATAATTGCATTACAAGTATGAAAACAGCTCCAACAGCCCTCCAGCCCTCATTGCGCTTCCTCGCTCACACCCCAGATGCCCCTCCGCTCTGGCTCCTGCCCACCTCGTGTCCCCTACTATGTTTGGATCAGGAAAATATTCAGGCGTGTCTTAGCGTGCAATGAATGAGGCTGCCACGTGCCTCTCCCCACCTTCAACGATGGTCAGCATTTTCCAGATCCTGTTTTACACATTTCTCCCCAACTTGTTTTTGCTTGTTTGTTGCATGTCTGTTTTCTGGAGCATTGGAAAGCAAATCCCAGACACCCCATCAGCGCACCAGTCTTACTCCTGCTTCTGGTGCATTTAACACACTGCAGTGGAGTTTGTCCACGTGGTGGCACCTCCTACTGGGCCGCGGGTCTTCAAGAACAGAGTCCTCCACGGCCTCAGCCCCCAGTACTGAAACTGGCCTCAGTGGGCACTCCAGAAACTCCAGCTATGGTCGGAAAACTGCCCAAGGGACACCTGGATTCCTGACCCACTGAAACCACTGGAGAATGACTGTTGTAGGCCCCTAAATTTTGGGATGATTTGTCTTGCAGCAACAGATGACAGAACTTTAGGAAAGTCATTTCGCTTCTCCCTGTCTCAGCCTCCACATCTTCAGTGTGGGGTAGTAACAGCACCTACAGCACAGGGGGCTTCACTCCTGTTGTGTGAGAGAGGAACGTCACCACCCAGCAGGCTGCAGCACTCAGTGAATGGGGCGGGTATCATTTGGGAAACACGGGGGTTAGAAATCCCGACCAGCCTAATGAAGGCGGTAAGTCCAAGTTCCCGTCTGCCATGCATGCTGACTTGGGGTGAGGGTGCACGCCACAGATGCAAAGTCAACTTCAAGGTTGCTGGGAGTGCTGCCTTCTTCCAACGACTGGGGAGAGAGTGGATTGACAGGATCCCCCGCCTGGGATTCGCGTGCTGGACACAGTCGCGTGGTCTACACAGCCTGGCACGCAGGCCTGCGTGGCAGCCTGGACTCGGGCTCGACACCCCTCGGGCTCGGGCTGGACTCCGGTAAAACAGGCTTCAGAAGCAGGAGCCATCAGGCCCCGAGGTAACGTTCTCTTCTGCCCCCGGGCACACGGAAGCCGCACGAAAGGGGAGGCTTGGCTCCGATCTGAGCTTCAAACCGTGTGCCGTTCTGTAGCAGCGGTGCCTGAAAACGGCGCCATTTGCTAAAACGAGGGGAGGTGGTTCTGGAACGCACTGCTTGTCAGGAGCGGCTCAAACAAATCCCCAGCAAGGTGAGGCGCGTCTGCACCCGGAATCCCATGTTCGCGCAGCCGTCTCTGATCACCGATGTCGCACCTGACTGCTTCTGGAAGTTGCAGTCATTTCTGTTTACTCACTCCACCATCCGATGACACAGCCCACCGCAAAGTGTTTCTGCGCCGGGAGCCGGGACACTGCAGTGGACGTTCCTGGGGTTTTAGGTCGAGAGGGCAGCTTCTGGAAGGTGTCAGTGGAGGCGGAATGCACCCTCCCCGTGAAAAGTGTGAGCTAACCGTTCCATTTGCCGTGACGTTTCCGTGGAAGTACTGTCTCTCACTGCAACGCCAATGTGGAGATTACAGCTCAGAAGTCTTAACAGCAGTTACTAGGCAGCGTATCGACTGGGAGACTTTCACTATTCTGGGTGGAGACATAACATGAACCATGAAATAAAAGACTAAATTAAAACTAAAGTAAGAAGTAACGTGAGAGACTTCGGTCCTCTGCTCTCCACTTCACCTCATACGTGTGTTTTTAGTGAAAGTGATTACACGGAACTGAAATCAAACAGGCTCAAAAGAAATTAAAGATGTACACAGACGTATTTGAATGAGAACATATTTATTTACATCCTTATTTCCTTTTTACAACTCCTACATTCTTAAATAAGTTTCCAGAAAATCAGGTTGTTTTAAATATTTAAACAAAGAAAATTTTCACAATATGATTTTTATTTACACGAGTTTTTAAGAGCATTAAATGGTTCTTTTCAAACTGCACAAGGTAGTGAAAAGCTTTTATTTAGACCTTGCATCTTTTTCGAAACCTTTGATTTGGAAAACTAGGCTGGGAGTCAGACCCTTGCTGTCTCAGAGATGAGGGTCCGACTGGCACGCGGACACAGAACTGCTCTATAGCAATCCGCCCTTTGGCGGGGAGCTGAGCCCATCTGACATGTCTGGACGGTAAAGACAACTCACACTGCCGCGATTAAAACCTTCTGGAAGCTTTCTGGATCAGTCCTGCAATCGCGCTACCTTCCCGGGTGGGTGTCAGGAGCACACGCTGAATTTATGAGGGTGGACGGCCTCCAGTCTGGCCAACTCTGAAGGAGACTCCTGGGAACACAAGACCCGGCCAGGGCAGCCACCGGTGCGTCCCCTCCCCTCGTCCGGTCACACTCGGATGCTTAATTTTCCTCTGACACTGCACATGCAAATCACTCACTTTTAGAAGCACTTACGATTCACAAAATGACTTCCAACGATAACAGTGGGCTGACAGCCTTTCATCCCTTATCTGACCGGCGTCAGATATGGCGAGACTGCAACAGGGGACAGACTTTCTAATATTTTATGCACAAGGTCCTCTGAATAGCTGGCATAACACCCATGAAAAAATAGAACAGATCTACTTTTACCACAATCAAAGCTACAGTTCGGAACGAAAACCTCCCAGGACTCTCCAAATTCTCCACGGTCTCAGCCGAGGGCCCGTCTGGGACATCACGCGGCGGCGATAGAGGCGTCGTCCATGAGCCGACCCTGTGGCTTTAAAGAGGGAAAACGAAAAGGGTTCACAGGAGAATAGTGACCACATAAGCGCTATTAATTGAAAAGATTTAGAAATTCTTCAGACTGTTCACAGAAACAGCATAAACATGAGCAAATATCAAAATAAAACGCATCCGCCTTTTGTGCTTGGCCTCCCTCTTCACTCACCTCTGCGGACGGCACCTGTGTGCCTCGGTCCCTGTCACCGCCCTCCCCGTGCAGACACCCCCACCTGCTGAGTCTGCCTCAGTCGCACTGCTCTCCCTGGGGACCTGGGCACCGCTCCCGCTCTAGCGATGACAGGGTTATTCTCTCATCCCCTTCCTCCTGCTCAGGGCCCGCCTGGGTCTCAGCCTGACAGAGTTCCCTGGAGATTCAAGGTCTCCCAATAATCAGCTGGAGAACAAGGGATTCCCAGCGAATGCTGGGCTGCCTGATGACAAACACTGCAAGGACATGAGCAGCAGGTAAGGACAAATGTTTCCCTTGCTCAAGGCCACAGACTGAAAAAACGTAAAGCATCACATCAGACAAGCACAAACCAGAAATGAGTGAGAGGTACCATAACTGTCTTTAGGTTAGAATCTCCGACAGGTTAGCAACATCCCAGAGCCAAACAGCTGAAAAAAAAAAAAAACTGCAAATGGTCGTATTTTATTACACAGATCCACAGCCCTCAGCTGAGCTGCCAGCAGAATGGCTCCCGCAGGGGCCTGCGGTGAGCACAGCGCCCCCCCCACCATGCACCAGGCGGTGCTGTGAGGTTGTCTGTGTGTGCATGTGTGTGGGCACGTATGTACGCCTGCATGTCTACACACACACACACACACAGGCACGCACAGGTAGGTTTGGCCTCTCGCAGGCAGGCACAGGGCGAACAACAGAACAGGCGCCCGCTCTCCGCACCTCGTGTGACATTTAGTACTGATGGAGGCGGCTCCGTTTCAGAGACGAGGGATGGCTCCACCCGGCGGAACCCTCCCAAACACACTGTACAGACGAGCGTGTCGTCCAGCCAGAGCACTGCCCCCTTGTCTGAGGAAGGAGGGTGTGGCCGCCTCGTCTAGGGCAGCACTAATCCAACGACCGTGACCGTGGAATCGCTCGTTCCGGCGCCGCCCAGTGGGGTGTCTGCGAGTCCATGGACCTGCTGAGCACCTGAAGTGTGGCCACGGCAGCCAAGCAACTAACTAGTAAATTAAGTTAAATTTTAACTAATGAATTTCATTTGGATCCCCGTAGGTACACAGGGCCGGTGGCCACCCCACTGCAACTCGCAGCCCTGAGGCCAATGACAGTTCCGCAAGCAGGAAGAGGGTGGCACTCACGCCCGGCCTCAGTGTGACCCCTGACGCAATGCCAAGTCCCCCACTGACAGGGGAGCTGGTTCCGGGGGACCCAGGCCGTCTCCTGGCAGCAGTCGGGTGACCAGACGGTGGCACTGTGAGAAGAGATCATGGCCGTCAGAAAGGGAAACGCTCATCAGGTTAAAACGCACGAATGTTTGCCTTCCTGGAACCTCCCCCCACAGATTCAAACACCGCCCGGAAGAGGCTTCCTGTGCAAGAGAGGCAGAGGCCTGGGCTAGTGAGGGCTGCGGGGAAAGGAGCAGGGACGGCTGACCGGCCGCACCCACACCAGCAGTCTCACAGCGGGACGTGGCCAAGCCCGCACACCGACACAGACGCTCACGCCGATGGAGGCCGCACTTCTGGCGGAGAAACAGCAACTTTCAGAAGGGCCAACAGCCAAAAGGACATTGGGCACTGACCACGCCCCAGTGCTCCCCACCCCAGCAGGACGTCTCCCCAGCAGGCGACCCCGGACACAGCAGTGACAGGGCAATGGAAAACGACAGCGGAACAGGGCCAGGTGGGGACGTTTGCAGAGCCACCGCCGTGTGGGGACGGCGGGTGCCTGGGAGATCTCTGCACCTGCCTCTCAACTGTGCCGTGAGTCCAAAGCAGGTTGAAGCACTGCTTAAACACTACACATCTAACATCATGAGTCCGGCTTTCTTTCTCTCCTTTTTTTTTTACAATTTAAAGTATGGAGTAATGTAGGAGCTTGGAAAGGTTGATAAAATGATTTCTCGGCAGATACAAAACAGCGTCTAAATCAGGAAAGAGAAAAGCCGGAAGATTTATGAAGGCTACATCAACAGAGAGTAGTTTATAACATTAAATCCCAGATAACACAAACAAGGCACAGTCCCCAAACATGACAGACACGAAAAAGGAGACAGCACGCAATGTGACTTGCCATTTCAAAGTGGGGTATGAACCGAAAAGAAAAAGAGGGTTCATGCGTGCTCATGAACACCGAGCTACCAGACATTCCCGGGGACCAGACCGTGTGCAGGGACAGCCTAGACCCGCGGCCCCCCCCAGCGGGAGGGCGACAAGGAGGAGAAGCGCGGGCCGTGAGAACCACCTGCGGCCAACGGGCTCTCACGCACCGCGGCCACCTGCGTGTTCTCCCGTTACAGGGCCCCGGAAAGGGTCTCCGAGGGAGAAGTCAAAACACTGAACGGGAGTGTAGTTTCCGACAGGCCGTCATTTTCAGAAAAGACCTAAATCCAGTATCACACAGTTAAACAGAGAGAATTAGGGACGTTCAAGATTAAAAGTCAGTTACGAACTACAACTTAAAAACACACTTCACCAAAGCCAAAGAAAAAAACATGTTTAAGGATACTATAAAGATAAATCATTTACCTAAGGAAAACAAAAATCTGTGGAACGAAATTGCGTAAGACAATAGTAACTTACAGAAATCAATGGCAACACTGCCAAATTCATATAATAAAAGATGAAAGTATAACTGTTAGTCTCAAATTACTGTTTTCTGATATTTACATAAAAAACATCACCTTTGTCTTCACGACAGTGAAGGCAGAAGCAGGAGATTTCGAAGCCTCACCTTCACGAAGATGCTGGTGGGTATGAACCGCCGCAGCAGCTGGTGTGTGAAGTCCGGAAACCTCAGCAAGTGGATGTTGAGGGACGGCAGCTGCTGGCAGCCGGCCATGAGGGGGTAGAAGTTGTACAGCATTTCCTGTTCGGTGCCCGGCAGGATACGCAATCGAATCTGAACCACAAACAGTGACAGGTCACCAGACACGCAGACTCGCAGCGTCTGTCCTGCTACCCCAGCTAAGTGACAGGTGACTGGACACCCGCATCTCGCTGGTGACATGTTCTCTCCCATTCCATCTTCCCAGGTTCCAAAACGGAGGCTGAATGAGTAAGAGGCCAGGACCACACAGGTAATAAATACACATATAAAAATATGTGCGTGATTTCTGTCCTACTAACACCCGAAGGGCAACATACAGCCTAGAAATGAGAACACCAGACGGATCAATATATGCTGTGCAGTAAGTACACCGGGCAGACTTCACCACCATGAGTTACAGGACACTTTGTACAAGGGCACCTTCGTGAACTCTGTGTCCACACACGACAAACTAGTTGTTGCTTGTGTTTTCTTGTAGAGATTTTACCTCTGTGGTAAATTAAGTAATTTCCAGGGGCAAAAAGATGCTCGGGAATTTTTAACAATATTTTCAAAAAGAACACAAAGTGGTAAGATTTTGGTATCTCACATTATCTGATTACCTTTAAGTTAATAGGTGAAAAAGATCAAGGAGCTCATTTGCAAATGAGCACACGCAGGAACATGATGCCCATGTGTGTACCTCTGATGCACACGTGTACACACCAGAGGTAGCGTGCGCACACACATGTGCATTGACACACCAGAGCTAACGTTACCCCTGCCCCAAAGTGAAATGAGTGCGTGAACTGAGACCCACTCCACCCGCAGCGGAGCTGCCTTTCACATTTCACAGCAAACAGCACTCAGCACACGCACGGCACAGGTGGCTGGTCAGGGCGGGGACTTCTAGGTGTTACGATTTGTCTGTTCCTCTAATTATCTCCTCATTGATAAAAAGTACTGTCTGACCACAACACCTCTGAAAAATTTCACTGATAGTTCAGGGGAGAACTGGGTTTTTAATGCAGGTAGTTACACCCCCAGGCCTCAAATTAAAAGCCAAAAAGACATACACACACACAAACTCATTAGTAATAAAAGGGAAATCCAAGATTTTCAGGGAAAAGACCCTCCGTGTGTGATCTCAGTGTGAGGAGGTCTGCCCATTCATTCCACCTCTATGACGAGTTGTACTTAATCCATACAAGTGACTTTAAAAATTCACAGCCACCAGAGTAACGGGGACCACAGCCCATCTGTCAGTCCAGCCGCCCAGCGCCCACCTCCTGGCCACACTGCCGTGCCCACACACGCAGCCCGGCGGGACGCGCCTGCACCTGTTTAAGACCGGAGAACATGAAGGCGTCGCTGGGCTCCACGGAGACCTCCACGTCCTGAACTAAGTCGGTCTTGTTCTTCAGGTGGTACCTGACAGGCAACGACTCCCTGACGCGTCCAAAGGATGGCAGGTCTGCGGAGAAAGCGGCCCAGTTCTCTCGGTTACAGAGAAAGCTCACCATGCACACGTTCTTTCCGTAAACGAGTCTCATTCTATGAGACGTGGGCTTGTTTAGATGAACGATATTACCACAGTCTCCCTAGTAAGAGATGTTTCAGTTATACATTAGCCTGAGACTATGATAGAAGAGGTTAAGAAACATCCCAGTCTCCTTCTAAAACTAACCAACTTAGGGTGTGCACCGTCAGGAGCTGAATTATATTTTAGGAGTAGTTTTTAAAATCTACAGAAGGTCTCCCTAAGTACCCACCACGTTCCAAAAAGGAATGACGGACAGTGTGTCTCCTGATGGGAGCACAAGTATTCTCCCCAAACTTCAGCCCGAGTCTGACCATGCTTACAGACCCAACTGCCCATTTACAAGGACAAAGATGCTTGAGAACAATGCAGCACAATCAGCAAAACCCAGATGCAGCGAGCGCTGCAGGAAAACGAGCGTGGAGGAAGGCAGGGTGAAGGGCGTGGGAGGAGCGGCACTGGGAGGGACCGGGCCTGCCTATGGACTGCACGGGTATCAGCTGCTACGCAGAGACCTGAGGACAAACCACAGAGCAGGGTCGACGAGGAGAATGTCAACACTGGAACCTGGTAACATAGGACACTTCTGCTAGTTTTTAAAGTCACCATGATGAAATTACGATGATGATTAGACAAATAACCACTCCTCTCCCAGACACAAGGAAATGTTTAGAGACGGAATTACACCTGGAACTGCTTCTAAATGATGGGAGCAGGGACGCAGGACCCGTAGAGAGAGGCGCCGGTGGAACGAGACTGGTCACCGTGCGCTTTGGCACACGTCGGGCTTTTTCCGTAATAAAAAGGTTCCAGAAGTCTTAGGAGCCACGAGGCACATTCTCCCCGGAGTCCCCCCCTCAGACCGACCGCGAGCGCCGTTACCTGCGTGCACGTGCAGGGGGATGCTCTCCACGATCACGTGCGGCAGGGTGATGACAGTGCTGACCACGGGGATGTCGCCCCTGGCGGAGGCCCTGCGGTGGAAAGGGCGTCTGTCACATCCAGGGTTCACAGGAGAGGTCAGCGAATCAGAGACGGGGACCAAGCACGCTCACCAACTGGCCCCGAGGAAACACACACCCTGCACTTCCCACACCCGCACAGGTGCAAGCGGCTGGAGGCAGTAAGAGCTCTCAGATCCCCGTTTTTGTGTGACCACTTCTAATGAGCCACCCGGAGCCCGGCTGCTGTCTGGTCTCAGTGGAGGAAGTAAGGGGCTCCCGCCTGCGCACACCCGTGACCACAGCACGGGGCAGCAAGACGCTCTCGGTGCAGGGGGCAGTGCAGTGATTGACACGATGACACAAACAGTGTCGCACGAGGACAGCTCACGGAGGACCCTGGAGCACTGCCAAGTGCACCATCGCCACCAGGCCAGGGCGCACAGCGACCTCACTGCGGCTCCGACAGTTCCAATACTCGGTGGGTCCCTCGGGTACTCCGTGCGGACAACCTTACTGACCACAAACAAGGGCCGTTTCTGTTACATTTAAAATGGTCCTATCATCACAATTAGTTTGGCTAAGACGTCATCAGAATCTAGGTCACTTTCACTGTGACAACACACAAATCAAAGTTTAATTATCCCACTTAACCCTTGTTTATTTGACAAACGGTCGGTGATGGCATGGGACAGCATGAGTCCCCTCTCCAGAGCCAAGGGACGCTCCCCACTGTGAAACGACAGTGACAGATGACAAAGGCATCAGAGCAGCACAGACGTGAAGACAAGACCACGCTGACCGAGTTTTACCTCTTCCAGGAGACGACATAGTGCCCAGTCGCCACCCCACCTTCGCCAGTCCCGGCGGACGGGCACCGGAGACAGAAGCACTCGCTGGCGCTCTCCCCGGTCTGCAAGACAACTGCAAAGGAAGGCCCGGTCAGCCTGCGCCCCGCCCATCTGCGCCAAGGCGCCTGCCTGTGGGCGGTGCCCCAGGCAAAGGACACCTCCGTACACGTAACTGACAGAGACGTCCCACGCCTCCCCCGCCACAGCGTCCCTATCCAGTGCGTCCGCTGATCTAGCAACGCCCCAGCACAATGACAACCGGGGAGGCACCCGCGCGTCTCCCACACGCTCCACTGGGAACCCATGAAAGGGAGGAGCCTGGAGTCAGAATAATACCTTTTGGTGATTATTTTAATTTTCCCAAATTACTTCATGTCTCCAAAGAAAGCATTTCACAGTGAGGCAAAAACCCCATAATTTTAGCATACCCCTTAAGGCACTCAAACCGCCACTCTAGAAAACGACTGACTTTCTGAGTGAACAGGAAGTGTGGACAGCTCCAAACGGCAGCGCACCCTGTGTGCCTCCCTACTGCCCGACGGGACGCGTGCCTCTGGTGCAAGGAGCACTCCTCTCGCCAGTTCCGGGTGAATCCCACGGCCAGGCACACGCTCCTCCAGACACACCCGCCCTACTTTCGGCATGTGGTGGCCTGCTGTACCTGTCACGCGTCCAACTGCAGGCCGGCGACAGTGCTAGTGATGCCGGCTTCCGCAAATCTCTGAGCAAACCTTGTAATAACAACAAAGTCTCCAAACATTGAGTAGCTGTTTTTACGGTTTTCCAACGAAGGAGACTGTGATAAATTCATGGGTAAGACTGAGTATATACCAGAAATGAAAAAGGAAAAGAAGCTGCATTAAACTTTACTTGAATTACTCCTTGTAAGTAATTTCTAAGGACCAGGAAAGGACAATGCAGTGCAGGACGTAAAACCCACGTCAATTCAAGCCTCTAAGAGGAGCTTTCATAAAAACCTGGGGTGTTCACATTAAATCCCCCCAAAGTCCTCCCTGATTATAAGAAGCCAACCAAATCAGTCACACACTGGAATGATTAAAATCAGGGTTACTAGGGGCCTCGGAGAGCGGTGGTTTTCAATGTGGCAAACACGCAGCTCATGGTGCGTTGGTGCCAGTGTCCTTGGAGGTGGCAGACAAAGCAACGCCACCCCCTCCCCCCGATTTTCACACCCTCAGTCCCAGAACCTTCACACGCTGCCTCCCACAGCGAAGACTTCAGAGACGTGATGAAGACGGGATCTTAAAATGGGGAGATCCCACTGGACAATCTAGCTGGGCCCAATGTAGTCAGTCACAAGGGTTGTAAGAAAGAGAGGGAGGCAAGAAAGAGACACGACGAACAGAAGAGAGGTCATGGAAGGAGAGGTGAAGACGCCACACCGCTGGCTATGGACCTGGGGGAGGAGCCACGAGCCAAGGCCTCCAAGTGGCCCCGAAGCTGCAGCAGGCCAGGGAAGGACCTCCCTGGAGCCCAAGGAAACGCAGCCGTGCCGGCACCTTGATTTGAGGACTTCCGACCACGAGGATTTTAAGATAATAAAACCTGGTTTTTATCATCTTAAAAACTGACCATTACTCGTGAATTTAACAAAGACTGATGAACAAGCATGAAGCAGGCAGAACAGAGGAGGAGGCAGTCACAGCGCCGGCTCTCGAGGGGCACACATTGTGGCGGGCAGCCCGTGGTGCGGACTCAGGGACAGTGCAGTGGGAAGTGCTGGGACAGCAGTGTGCCCATGACCGCAGGGTGGGAAGGGGGCAGAGCGCTCAGCTCTGCAGAAGAAGCCCGAGCTGACCTGAGCTGACCTGCACACCGAGGAGCCCACGGGACTCCCGCAGGCTGGGAAAGCAGAGGTTGGAGTCTGGGAAGGAGCCAAGGGAAGGCGAGGGGCCAGGGCAGAAGCAGCTGCAAAGGGGAGCAGAGCCTGCCTGGGAAAGGTCTGGTGTGTCGTGGGAGTTTTTAAAGAAGGAACGACAAGGTCCCAACAGTTTTCCGAGGAATCGAACTCTGGAGCAACAAGAAAGGTAGACAAAGGGAGGAAATGGCCAGGAGCCGAGGTGAGAAGCTGGACTCGGAGACTCGGAGACGGGAGAGCGGCCACTTCTCGTGAAGGGACATGCGGCCAAACCGATCCACCCCAGGCTCACGGGACACACACAGGCTAAGTTCCACGGCATCTCATCAACACACCAAAACAACACTGAACAAAGCGATGTTGTTCGCGGACCTGCTGCATCATTTTATTTTCAAGTACATTTTTCAAAAAGTAACTTCCTTATGATAGCAAAAATCTGATTTCTTAAAACAAGGTATCCTCAAACAAATCGTAAATGATGCCAATCCCGTCTCAATTCTAAACATCTTTGCTTCTGTGAGCACGAGTCTCGCGTGCCCTCACCAAAGGCCAGCTCTCACTGCTACTCCCACGCAGGCACGCACGCAACTGCCAGCGAAGTGGGAGGGCCCCGCTCTCACCTTGGCCCAGCTGCGACTCGGGCTGGTCCACGGGCGTCATGGAAGGCGCGAGCCGGAGCTCGCTGGACGAGATGGCGAGGGCCCAGGGCGAGGCGCTCAGGAGGTCCGTCATCAACAGGAAGGGCACGTCGGCGTAGACCCTCTCCAGGTGCTCGAACTGTCACAAACGAAGACAGAAGGTGGGCCAGGAACAACGTAAATCTGTTCTGTGTTCCCCCATTGATTTCCCCAGGTGATTTCCAATGCACCTCTCAAGGACATACCTTCGTAGAAACAAATTTAACGGCAACATCAAATGGAAAGACGGTTTCGATCGTCACAGTTTCATCCTGCAGGAAAATGCGACAGGCACGGCCACAGTTTTCTCAATCGTAATGGTACACAGAGCTTTAAACACAGAAGGCATTCAAAACGACTGACAAATAAATCCCGATTTTAGAGTAAGAAGCTAGGACTTTGCCCTTAGATAGCTGTCAAAACCCATGCAGAGAGACCAGACTACTTTTTCTAATTAATTACCTTATGGCACTACCCTCCTGCAAAGTGCTTCGATACACCCTTTATCTCGGGATCGAGAGAAAGTGGGCAGGGCGGGCACCGCTGCCAGGTCACCGCAGAGGAAGGGAGGTTCAGAAGATTTTCAGGGACTGGCCTTAGGCCACAAAGCCAGTGGCGCCCAGCAGACTCTGGGCCTTCTTGCGTCACCTCGACTCAAGATGAGCAAAGTAACAACGACGATAACAGTGATGTAACGGGGCAGTGTTACAGCCACCATACCTGTGTTACGTAATGCTCCTAACTCAAGCAAACACACGCCATTATTACTGCCATCTGAAGATGAAGTTGTCACATAGCTAGTAAGTGACAAAGGCAGAAACTGAACCAAATGTGACCCTGGAGCCCAACTGAAGCCGACAACTGGATCTCCCTACTGGAGTCTGTTCAAACAACAGCGGGGCTAGTAACGCTGTGAAACAAGGGACCCTCCCGCTGGGTAAAAAACGCAGGCTGGGATGCCAGACAGATGTGGATTTCAATCCTGGCTGGACACACACTGGCCGCGTGGACCGTGGACGTGGTGGTGTGACCCTGGGAAAGTTACGTGACCTCTTCAAGTCGATTCCACAAGCCTCACAGGGCTGATACGACAATCAACTGGGAGAATACACAGAAGGCCCTTCATCATCTGCCTAAAATGTTACATTATGTGCTTCAACTTATTTCCTCTTTCAAGATTATCAAGCTAACTCTTTTAAAATATAATACTATCTTACTACATGTTATTATATGTATAATACTATTACCACGTTCCAAGCCAGCTGACAGTTACCGAACGTGTGCCCTCAGAAAGAAGCAGACAGGTTTCAAGTCTCACGGCTGGTTCGAGTGAGACCTCAGACCTGCTGATTCTGAGAAAAGCCGCACTGATCAACTTTCTAACGTTGGAGCAGTGAGTGCCTCATTATATTTTTCATAATCAATACAAACATGTTCGAAAGTCAACGGAAATTTGTAACAGACTAGAAGCCCCAACTGCTAATTTTGTAAGTAAACTAAGAGCCCAGCGAGTGCTGCACACAGGACGCTTCCGGACGTAGCTGCGAAGACAATACCTTGTGACACTTGCAAACGATCTCCTTGTCTTCAATGGTGGTGTCGATCAGGTAAGAGACATACACGAGGAACATCCTGGAGCCCACCGTCCCGCAGCGAACGTACAGCGTCTGTTCCAGCTGGAACGAAGGGTACGTGCTGTCCTTTAACCACCACGGCAGGGTCCCACGGGACACAAGTTCTAGGACGACGTCCCCACCCAATGTAACCGACGGCGCCGCCTGGCTCCACTCCTGAACACGTTTCACAGGCCGGTCCTGCCACGGCGCACGGGCGGGATGCTCACCGCTCCATCTTTCTGTCATCCTTCCCAACCTCCCAGGAATTCTGGGTTTGGTCTGGAAACAGACGCTTACTGAAAGACTACTTCACTGAGGTACAAACTTTGTGTCGTTTAATTATTCAGTACTATCTAGTTAATTTTATCAAGCAACCGAGTCTCCGTATCAGGGTCATTTGTTCTAAAATCCTTCGTATAAAAACTGCTTGAGACATCTTACACACTCGAACGTAAAATGTGCCTTAGTTAAGTCACGTGTGTAGTCTCCAGAAGCGCTACTCAAACGCTCTGCAGCTCGTCACGCACTTGAAACCACAGGCCGACAGCCTCCCCCACCGACCGAGCTGACCTGCTCCCCGGGCTGCAGGTCCCCAACAGGAATGTCCGTGAGCAGGGCCGGGCAGGACTCGTCACACAGCTCTGTCCCCCGCAGGGTCACCTGAGTCTTCTGAGTCAGATTGGCATCCTGGCCTGAAAGCGTGCACACCGGAGTTTGAGAATCCAGAGAACCGAAGCACCTCGCTCGTGAGTGGCGCTGCGTAAGGAGCGCCACGTCAGACCCGTGTCCTCCGCAGGCCAACACGTCGCGATGACACCGACCGAGCCCAACAGGACCGCTTACCAGGCTTCAGGCCGGCAGTGAGCTTCACGTCTCTGATCCGGCTGCTCTCGTGGGACTGCACGGTCACCGCCAGACAGTACATCTCATTCGTCAGGGCAGGGGGGTCGTGTCGCAGCTGGACCGAAACGTTTGGAACTCTGGAAATGATCCTTCGGGGGGAAAACCGTGCAGCTAAGTGACTGTTTCGAAAACCAAATTACTGACATGCAGAATTTAAAAGAAATGAGCGACCTCCCCCAACCGGCCTGGCCAGGCCGACTCACATGGTGCTGGCCTGGATGACGACGCTGTCCCAGTGAACCTCGCTGTCGGGCAGCTTGGGCCGTCTCCGGAAGGAGCGTGCGGCCTGCAGGGCCTCCTGGGACGAGGCCGCGTCTCCTCCTCCTCCCTGCCAGTTCAAGACCACGCACCGCCCCGTCTCATGGCCCAGGACCAGGTCCACAGAGGTGATCTAGAAGGAGGGGCCTGTCAGAAACGCTGGCTCACCCCCGTGTGTCCCCCCTCCCGACGCCTCACATCCCACAGGGCTGGTCTGTGGAGGCCACCTAGAGCCCCGGGGTGACTCGGGTCTTGTCCCACCATCTCTCAGCGGGGACACCAGCTCGTAGCACGCTGGGTTTCAACTGCTTCGCCCTCCAGCAGAGACAAGGACCTGGCCCTCGGGCTCAGACAGTGGCGGCCAGGGCTGCAGCGCCCGGCGTGGGGCCGGACCCTGGCGAGGCTCGCTGACAGGCGGCCGAGTGAGCTGCACGGATGTCTGGACAGCCAGTCGTACACTCGGAACTCACCCCACAGCTTCCCCGAAGACGTCTATAGTGTCAGCAGTGACACTCTCTGCTGGTTGAATGAATGTCCTTTCAACTAACTCCATGAGCAAATTACTCAAAATAGTATTAATTCTGATTTACATCTGGCAGGCTTCCTTAGGTTCCTTGTAAAAACTATGTAATTTAGTCAAAATCAAGAAGATCTTTTTTAAATTAATAATCAAGGAACTCTGGATATTGGCCAGTAATAAATGCGACAGAGGCACGGAAATGCTTATGGGAACAGTGGCGGTGCAGTCTGATGTCTCTACCCTGGACACACGGTCCCAAGTGCGCGCCAGCCACGCTCATTCCAGCCCTGGAAACAGTCACTTCGTGAGTGCTTACCACGCACCAGGCCCTGCTCGAAGCAGTTCACACTGACCCCTTCTATCCTCATGAAATACTAGGAGGAAGGTCCTGTTACTATCGCCATTGTACAGATGAATCAACTGAGACACAAAGGGGCTGAGGAACCGCCAGGGCCACAGGCTAGTGAGCTGGAGACCTGGAATTTAAACCCACGTGGTTCGGCTCTGGGGCTCACGCTCGGCAGAAACATTCCTTTCATCACGTGTGTCTGAAAGGCATTTTAATTACCGACATTACATGGATCCTTTCCAATATGAACCTTCATTTTTTCTTCGAAAATACCCAATCAGCAACGTTGAGACATCAAAATGACATAAATCTTCAGACTGAACTGTCATGTTATACAAAATATAATTGCTACACTATATGATATATGCATTTTGTTTAAAATTCCTTCAGGGACTGTGTCACCACTGAACCAGTAAGGCTGGTCTTATGTGCTAACAGGGCATGATGTCTGATATGCACCAGTAAGTGAAAAAGCCAGCTGCCGAGTACCAGGCACAGCACGTTCTCAACGGAAGGAAGCCTCCCCGGCCGTTACGAACGGTTTCCCTTGGAAAGTCCAAGTGGCAGACTTCCATTTTTCACTTAATCGACTTCTCTATTACTTCAAAATTTTCTGACATACACATGCACTTTTATCATTTAAAATATCTCAGATAAATTACGTAACTAACCTCAATTTTCTTTCCCACATCTTCAGTCTTGGCAACAAATTTAAAGAGAAACTTCCTTGTTTTACCAGGAACTAAGCACATCTTCCCCTGAGTGGCATTCTCTAACACCTCGCTTGCTTTGGACGCCTCCTGGATCACGCAGAACTGGTTGTACTCCTGGAAGAGAGGGCAGCAAGAGCCACACGTGACACACAGCAAGTGCCTCACGCTTTGTTCACACTACACACCAAGTGGGCTGGCGCTTGGTCAGCCTGCCTCCACTGAAACTGAGGCATCACGAAGGGTTATTAATAAATGCACGTTCTGGGAGCAGTGGAGGCACTTGTCCAGGCCCTGCTGCCACAAGGGAAGGGACAGTTCCCCGCACACGAGCTGATGTCTAAGAGCACTCAGCCCTCCCCTTCCAGGAGAGAGAAACAAAGGCTTATTCCTCGTCGCACTGGGCACTGTCATCTTTGTCATCTTTCCTTAAACAGCTTTATATTTCCTTGGCTCCTGTAACACTACGGAACCTCGTGTCTCTCACCCTCCATGACTGCAGCTCCCTTCGAAGGTCCCGCTTTCTCCCTGGTCCCCTTAGACACAGAGGTTCCCCACGTGTCAGCCCTGGACTCTCAGGCCTTCTTTCCTCCTCCTGTTCACGTCGCTGCAAAGCCGCTCCGTGTCTGCTACTCTGCACCTGGGCGCACTACTCCCCACAAAAAGCCTCCAGTTCCACCTAAAACGATCTGTTCGCTGGAGGCACTGACCAAATGATCTCACGGATCAACCCTAACCCCACAAAGCCCCTCCTTGGCCCTCCCCTCTCATGAGGCTGCTGCCTTCACTTGCCCATAAACAGAATGGGCATCTGTTTTCTCATTGACAATCATGTTCTCCACGCTCAGCTTCTCATGCCTGTGAACCGCTTTCGATAAATTGTAATTTTATATCCATTCTAAAACTGCCGACTAAACACCAAAGTCCCCGCCCCAACTGGGCCACTCGACAAAAAATAAGTGCTTGTTGGTTAAAGACTCGATATACTTTCTAGGTGAGCAGAAGATAATTCTTTATTAAGTGAGCCTGTAACTGAAACAGTTGGAATGTAATCAAGTACTTGACTATAATATCACACTACAAGTGTTCAAATACAGGAAGCATAGCATGACCCCAATTCTGCAGAAAAAAGTTGCTTATACGTGTGGGTATCAAAAATGTCTAGACTGTTCAAGCAGTCAGCGGTGACAAGCTCTGGGGACTGGAGGTGGAGGAGCACACACGCACATTTGCACACACACACGCCTCACTCACGTCCACCCCACCTCAGTTACTTCAACATCAAACATACAGCAGTTTGGTGACGAAAAACTAGCATTGGTGCCAGATCATAGAACAAACAATTTTGAAAATTATATTCATTCTGAGTATCTTATTTGAAATCCAAGTTATATATTTAAAAAATGCGCAAAGTTCTTAGAATTCATTAGCATGGAACGAAAAACAAAAACAGTAGGGAAAATGTCAAATCTGAATGACTGACACGGAAGGTGAGAACTGTGAATACATCACCTTTAATTTGCTACCTCGGAATCACTGAGACCGAACACTGATGAAGCCCATTTGCCCAGTTCAACAGGAGCCGGAACACGACTCCCGCATGATGAAGACACGCTGCAAGGCGCCGTTACCTGGTTGTTGAAGCTGACACAGAGCTTGGAGAACCTGATGGGGTGTGGACAGTCGGCCTTCAGGTAAACGTCAAACTGCACAGGAACATCAACGTGAAAACTCGGGGCGTGGAACTTGGCCTTGCATTGCACTGGAGACAAACGAACAGGCTGAGTCACAGGGCCACACATGCAGGGCACACACGTGCCTCTGCCACACGCGTGCTCTGCAGAACGGACACACCCACTGCAGGCATTTGCACCGACCTCTGTCTGCACCTGTGGCCTACCCACGGGCACAAACAGCTCACTTTTCAGAGACAAACCAAACTTAAATGAACTGCAGTGGCTCTGGAAACGTAACTGACAGAACTTCAGAGGAACCATTTCGTGGTTGCAAAAGAACCATTTTGTTACTTGTAATTTATTTCAAAATGCCTGCCCTAGGGAGTAAAGCAAAACCCTTTTAAACAACAGTCTTTTCAAATGTATTTCACATAACATCTGAACTACAAAGGAACAAATCTATGACATAAACTATTTGAAATTTGATCACCGGTAGGGAAAAGGTCAGTTTCCCTACTAAAAGGACTATACTTTGAAAATTCCTTCTTTGACTTTTATGATTATTATCCTGTACCTATTCATTTTGTGGAAATAAGGATGATTTCCCTGAAATAATAGCGCAGATTCTGGCTACCCACCAAATGGCACAAAGTCCTGGACTCCAATCGTGAAAACATTGCTGCCGGCCAGAGAGATCCGGTCTGCCCACAACTTCTGAGCCGTTTTCACAGCCAAGACATCACAGTCAGGTTCAGGGTCAGGACTTTCATTCTGTGCCAACACAGAGTGAAACATTCGCTCAACCGGTTATAAAAATATGTATGCAGAGATACAGACCTAAGGGTACAGAGCCTTAGAACTTATTTTATGTAAAGCATTCCAGCCCTGGCCACTGTGGCTCAGCTGGGTGGGTGTCACCTGCAAACTGAAAGGTCACGGGTTCAATTCCCAGTCAGGGCACAGGCCTGGGTTGTGGATTCAGTCCCCAAGGGGGCACAAGGGGCAACCTGTCACTGTTTCTTGTATCCATGTTTCTTTCCCTCTCCTTCTCCCTCCCTTCCCCTCTCTCTACAATCAGTAAAACAAAAATTAAAAAGGAAAAACAAAGATTCCAACCTACCATTAAAACATTTATGAGGTTCTTTTCTATCCGAGATTTCTGGTCGTCTTTCAGAGTTGAAGCTAATATGAAGGAAGAGGGGGAAAAAAAACTAGAAATGTAAGACAGGCAAGTACGTCCACTACCTCCATTTAAGGTACTAAACTATTGTAGAATAAATATCTCTGCTAAGCGCAAGTCCAAAGAATCAACAGCACAGCTTCCTAAAAGTTAGCCCCAACACTTTATACACTTCTGTCTGAAGTCTATGTGAAAAATTGTTTTATGCCATGTTTTAAAAAGAAGAATTGTGTTTTTCTCAACTATTACAAGTTCCACGGGAGGTATGAATCCCTTCACTTCGCAAAGTGACTTGTACACTACCAAATACATTTGGTACTACTTTGAGACAGTCATTCTTCCAATTTTAAGAGCTTAAAGTTGCTACACAATCTTAAAGCTTCAGAGTTTTACTGAAAGAACATCAAGTGACCTCTTCCGAGGAGTTCCAGGGAGTAGGTGATGTAATCTTTCAGCTGGGCCATGAGGTAGGAGCACTTGAGCGCAGTCGTCAGTATGGCCGTGAGCAGAGCCCACCACCCTTCGCTGCGGTAGTCACACATCACGTAGTCCAGCAACCTAGAAGCGGCGAAGGGGAGACAGACTGAAACGCAGCACAAGAAAGGGCTGACGAGTTCTGGAAGAAAACAAAGTGCTTCGCTCACTCTACGTACACTTCAGAAAATTCTCCTGCAATGGTTTAACAGGTATTTTCACATTTAACTACATGTGAGGTTTCCAAAGACTTTGAAAATGAGTGTACTAGAAGATAGTACTTGAAAAACTATCATAGCAATGGAGTTTACTAGAAACAGAAATAAGCATGGAAATAATAAATACAATGTCTATTTTAATCTTTCTCTAAGGAAATCAGAATACTTGTAAAAATAAATGGTGACTAGGACTCACTTCAGAGCTTTGGTATAATCCTTTGCATAGTAATATTCCTCTCCCATCTGAACCACTATAAAGGAAAGAAGATTTTTATGTACATAATTTAAGATGACTGGCACTTGGATGAAACTGTGGCATGTTACGAATACATACTTAGATGACTTTTCATTCTTGGACACTTATACTTCTTAAATTGTGCAACAGCGTTGCTCAGAAGAGTTATTATTATTTCCTGTTAGAAAAGATAAAGTGCGAAACATTCCAATAAAAATAACCTAACATTTTACTTGAATACTATAAAAAATAGTTGATGTTGGAAAAAAAAAACTTACAGAGTGAACAACATTTCTCTCCCTCAGCTGAATGGCAAGAATTCCCACCTTCTCTTTTTCAGGATCAGAAAGATCAAAACCTGCATCAGATAAGACACAACCCATCTTAGACAGCTCATTTACATAAGCCCTTCACGTGAACACCGGGTGTGTACACTCCTGGAATCCTTACATATGCTGTATTTAAAATTCTTGAACATTCTAGAATTTTAGAGGCTCTCGGAGACTTTTATCTCGGAGCTTTATCGGCACGGCAATTCTCTGTGAGCTCGGTTTAAAGAGAACCTCGCTGAGCTCAGTGTTCTTTTGCCGGGTGGAATAACCACCTGAAGAACAGCGCCAATGTCATTCTCTATCTACATAGAACACACTTCCCGGAGAGGAAATAATTTCTCAACATGTGCTACAGAAATTGCCCGAATTAAGTAAGTATGTATCAAACACAAAAAAGATGCAGAGAAATTATTTTTAAGATAAAACAAACTGATGCTATTTAAAACGTCAAATCATTAAAGTTAACTGGAATTAAAATATTTAAATAGAACAGAGTGGCTTATTAATTGTGTCATTTAAGACATCCAAACCCTGGCTGGTGTAGCTCAGTGGATTGAGTGGGGGGCCTGTGAACCACATGATTGCGGTTCGATTCCCAGTCAGGGCACATGCCTGGGTTGCAGGCCAGTTCCCAGCAGGGGGCACACAAGAGGCAACCATACATTGATATTTCTCTCCTTCTCTCCTTCCCTCCCTCTCTAGAGATAAAGAAATAAAGTCTTTAAAAAAAAAGACATCCAAACATTATTTTAACCACATCCTTAAGTTATTCTGAGATGTAGTGATACAAAACATTGTAAGAATTAAAAACTGAAAATCTCTTTAAAAAACGTTGACAAAGCACACATTTTCACCTCGACGTAATTTGTTATGACAAAATCATGACGGCTGCCGTGGAGGTCAAAGGGCAGAGGGGAAGGTGACTTACTTAGTACTCCTTGTCGCCATGACCTCTGACCATAGAAGTCAAGAGCGCCCGCCTGCGTCTCCAAGGGGTCGGGGCTGGGGTACGGGACGGAGGCCTGGAGACGGAGACAGCCCTGAGTGCGAGCCCCTGGAACCGCCACGGACCGAACCCCCTCAATTCTGACAACAAAATAGTGTTCGTAAATACAAATACCAAAACACTCAAGTATCAGAGACGTGGCTATTTTAACGTAAATTAAATTCTCACAAAGGTTAAGGCAAAATGCTTCATTTAATGCTCAGGTGGTCTCAAAAGAATCAAATTAAATAAGTGCAAGGTGCAGGGAGTCCTCGAATAACCTCACGTCATAAGACAGCGATGGGACACAGCAGGGACCTAACTGCTGTGCACGTCGATCCGCCTATGGATTCCCGGCCCCAACGCCCCAGGGTGATGCCAGCCGCACCTGGCAGCACCCAGCTCAAAGCCGTGGACCCGTCGACAACGCTAAGTGAGGATGTGCTAAAATTTCTCTACATTATCTTTTTACCTTTGCTATAATAACCCAGTAAAAAAATACTACAAATTATGACTGATGTTTATTCCACATTTACAAGTGCAGTGCTTCTTGGGCAAATGAAAAAAAATGTTATAAGAAATTTTCAAAACGCACCATTTTCCTTATTTATCACTTGTGTTTAAGTCCTGGTATTGGTGGGGGAGGGGTATTTTTGCCACCAGAATTTATAAATTTATACTGTTTTATTTTTTTCCTAACTTTTCTCCTGAAAACGAAATGTAATATAAGCACATTGTCGAAAACTGCAGAACGCATCCAAAAGAAAAAGGATAAAAAATTTAAACTACCTATCAACCTTCTGCCACTGTTAACAATGTACAGACGATTCTTCCAGATTTGTATGCAAACATTTATTCATCCTATCAACTGGAATAATTTTTCACCCTGCTTTTTTCATTTATATGTAATCTGTACATTTCACCATACCATTAAATATTCTTCTAAAACATTTTTCTGGCTGCTTGCTGTTCTACATTTTAATAAACTCCCCATAGCTGTTCATCTTGTTATTTCCATTTTACAATTAATAAGTCTGTCAGAACCACTTTATAAATAAATCTTCAAACTTATCTCTTAGAATCTCTCTGCTTTAGACTTCCTGAAAATGAAATTCTGGCTCAAAAGATAGGCAAGATTTTGAGGCTTCTCCAATTATTACTGACAGAACTATTATTTTACATTCCAGCCAATGTTATTTTTTAATGTCCATTTCTTCAGATCCTTGTAAAACCTAGTTTTAAAACCTTTTAAAATACTGTACTCAAAATACAATATGCTAGACTTTTACAATATAAAACATGCAATGAAGTTGTCATATACAAATAACATGGTAGAAAATAATCTAGTTATATCATGATTTAAGAAAAAATCCATACATTAAGGTACTAATATGCAAACTATTTTTGAAACAGTTTTTAAAGTAGTACTGTTGAAAATATCAGCTATCTTCCGAGAAGAAAACTGCAAATTTTAAGTGAAAATAAACTAACGTAACTGTATGAATGAAAATGAATTTACACATACACGCCATGTTCTTATTTCAAAGGTGCTTATGGGGAAACTGGTATTTAAATACAATCATCAGAGAGAAAGGAAAAATGAAATGTTGAGTTTAAGAAAGCATGCAACTAACATTATGTCTCAAACAGATTATTAAGCGTTTCCATAGAGAAAATCTTCAGGAAGAGGAAGAAGTCCAAAGCTGGAGAATCAAACACAGCACGTGCCTTCAAACTCCTACAGACATGATTGCAAAACAAAACACCAGATTTACGGTGAAGCGTGCACCAAACTGCGGCTTTTATTTTAAAGTAATTTTCTCTCGTCTAAATCACAAACCTACTGATAATCATAAATCAGTTCTTCAAAGAAAAACTGCTTAAGTCACAGACAGATGAAAACTGAGTACTCAGGTGAAAATGGAGTACTCGGGGTAAAACGGAAAAGAATTGTAATTTCTGAAAAATAAAAAAACAAAATAAATAAATAAACTTTTGATTATATTAAAAAGCTTGGCAAAAACTACCCACACCAATTAGTTTTCTCTGCTTTCCAGAGAAAAGGACTCCATCTCCTGCAGGCCAGACCCCACAGGAGGCGGCACTTACTTCATGCTCACAGAGGGTCTTTGCCAGCTGCTTCCGCTCCTGGGCGTAGTACGCGGCCTGCTGGTAATAGAAACCGGGATTCTGCGTCTGAATAGCCGTCAACCCTAGCTTAATAGCTTCATCAAACAAATCTCCAAAGGCTTGGAATCTAAACGGGGGTGGGGGTGGGGGGGGTGGGAATCAAGAAATTTTTGAAAAAGAATGGGAAAGAAAATGCTTAGTTCTATAATTATTCAACCTGGAACCATAGCTTCAGCAACTGTATTAAAATAATGCTACTGATGAACTATAAATCAGTGGGATCTCTTGTGTAAATACTAATACACACTAAGTAACTGTAGGTAACAGAGTCTGTATCTAAGACAACCTCTCAGTGCGGGCAAGCCTTTATAAATATACTCCCAAACTAAATGTCAAAATAGTCCCCTCCACTCCAATACGTCCATGTTTCTGGCAACAATTTCATTTTAGCAAGTTTTAAACATGGATCTCAAATAGAAAGTTCCATGTCAGCAGGCATTTTTGTTCACTACCTAGGTATATTCTCAGTACCTGGAAACATGGTGGAAACTCAGTAAATATATGCTGAATGATAGAGACAGTACCATGAATTAACCGATTCCCCTTAAGGAACTGTATGAGTCGATCTTTACTATTACTGGAAAGATACTTATACAAGATCATTACAGACCTACTTACTGACGATATCTTAGCTCCACTTAGAACCAAAGCCCACACTAATCCCACCCCTCCAAACCCCAAGGGTTTCCTCAAACTTCCCCTGAAAGTGTGACGTGAAACGTACTGCTTAGCCATCCACGCAGCGTGCTCAAAGGACAACTCCGCACTTCCGATTTTTTTCTTGCACAAGTCGATGTGTTTTCGGAACTGAGCAATGGCATCCAGTGGGGTGTTGTGCTGAAAACACAGCCTACAGATCTGCAAAATATAAAATCAACCCCGAAACAAAAAGGAAAATCGAAGTCAAAAGGCATGTTCATTTAAAAACATCTCAACTTCGAGACTAACTTGGGAAAAACCGTGGGTCTCCCTTCTCTGCCGTTCTCTGCGATAGCACTGATTTTCTCTAGCAGCACGGTTATGCTAAAACCAGGTTACATCCCTTCGATAAATGAAATACAATTACTCAGTTATGTGTTGGGTCTACTCTATACCTTAGAAAAAGCCTAGTAATAGTAAAAAATATATACCTGACCAACAAAGAACATAAGATGGGCAAAAATAAAGTATCTCCAACAGATAACTAAGAAAGAACAGGTCAACTTTCGGCTCTGCAACTGCCAGAAAGCTAAAGATCTTCTACAGCACAAGAGAACACAGCGGACTCCATGTCAAACAAGGACCACAGAAATTCTTAACAACCTTTGGCTGGGGATTCTGGTTCAGAACACGTATGTACACGCATGTACAGTAATAATGTACACGTATGCAGAGTAGGAGGAAAAACAGAAGAAACAAAGCCCAAATTTCCTTCCAAAAGTTATTACCAGTTTTACTTTTTAGGTAAGAAAAAACAGTTGAAAAGTGAAGCCTCACACCTGTCCCTGTCCCTCAGCTTCCTCTCCAGAGGCACCCAGATTAGGTCTCGTGACACACTCCGTGCACAGACAAGCGTGTGTGCGCGTGCGTGTGCATTCACACATACAGCATTGTTTCTACACAGATAGCATCTCTCTAAATATGCTTTGTGCTTTACTTCTTCACCTAAAAATATCTTATATCTCATTCCTTAGCAGCAGATGGAGCTGCCTCATTCTTAAATGTATAATAGTCCATTGTTTGGAATTATAACTTATATTAACCAGTCCCTTATTTCTGGGCAGTTTCCAATCTTTTCCTATCACAGGATATAACAGATATCCTCATATGTGCGATTTGCAAGTCTTAGCACACCTGTCGGATAAATCCCCTGAAATGGAACTGCTAGGTCAAGGGAACACCTAGCTACTCCGACTCTGTAGTCACTGAAAAAATAGTCTCTCCAGAGACTGGACCAACTTCCACTCAAGAAACAGAGAACTAAGTACCCACCTGCCCTCACACCACCAATCCAGTGCCAGCCCTCTTTACAGACTGAGTGTGCAAAGACTAAAAGGAAAACAAATAAATGCCTTCTGGGAGCATCTATTTCTACCACATATAATCCTAAAATGCAGAAATAACACCTACAGAAGTTTGCATGAAGGTGAACAGACACCTTTCCCGAGGCTGTGCCACTAAACCAAGGAAGCCTTACATTGTTCTAATACATTGTGTCTTTTAAACTTCAATAATTGGCACTTTCTTCTTGCCCCTTCCTGCCCCCACGTAAAAACAAAGAAAAGACTCCCCAGAGGAGTTTTACAAAAGTATAACCGCTCTAAATGAGAAGGCTGACACCCCTAAACATAAAATCAAGCTTTACAATGGGGGTGCCGCTAAGCCCCAGGTCCCCCTGAGATCAAGGGCATACAGGAGTGTAATTCATCAAATACTTTTCAGAGCAGGTGATTAACTTTGGTTTTCAAACTGTAAAAAGATAATCTGATCGTTAAAGACGAATTTCCCTTATTTGGAATTACGATTACCTTGTAGTTTATAAATCCTGCCATCGTCTTAATTTCCAGGATATTAGTTTCATGGGCTCTCAATTCATGTACAAGATTATAGGCGGTCCTATAATTTCTAACAGAAACATGAGGAGGGTGGTTAATTATGATATAAATTAATTTTAAGAAAAGAATACTCAGAATAAATTTATTAAAAATAACAGAGACAATGCTGAGTCAACATTTCTTAACACTTACCAGCTCATTAACATGTATGAGGGGGACCCAAAAAATCCCAGGATTTATTTATAAAAAATTGTGTATTTACTCTTGCATGTTTAAACTTCAGTCCCTTTCAAAGTTCTATTTGATGCAATACACCCACTGAGGCATTTTCTCCACTGCTCAAAACAGTTTTTGAACTCATTGATCCTGATACCTTTTTGTGCTTCCACTATTTTTTGTTTCACCTCTTCTTCAACTGCAAAATGTTTTCCTTTGAGGATTTTTTTCATCCAGGGATACAAAAACAGTCACTCAGGGCGAGGTCAGGTGAATAGGGAGGGGGGGGGTCATGCTGTTTTGGGTAAAAAACTGCTCAACACTCAGCGCAGTGTGGGCAGATGCGCTTGTAAACCACCCATTATGCATGACATGGGCTAATGAGTTGAAAGAGTATTCAATGCAGCCTCTCACCCCAACACCAGCTGGTATGCTGATACAGTTGGGTTCCCTAGAACACGCGCCTCGTGGGGGAAGCCTGTACCACATGGGGCCAGTCCTCCAGAAGATAATTCCATAGTTTTAGGTCCCCCTCATATGTACTAATCTCTGATGCCCTGTAAAGTGCTGTACTGATTAATGTGCAAAAAGATTCAACGGCTTCTAAGAACAGCACCATCACAACCAGACTGTCCTGTCATTAACTCCTGTCAATAACTGGTAGAAAATACGTAGGAAAATGAGTAAAGTGGACAGTTGTCCAGAGTTAATCTAAAACTTAGCATTAAAAATTGTATTTTTTAAAAGCATCAAAATGAGCTTTTCAAACAAAGAGAATCTCTATTAGGAAAGGTGTTATCGTACAGCACAGGTCAGAGGCTTTTAAACCCAGTGTCTCCTCAAGTTAAGCGGCTATCACTGGTCCGGTCACAGGCTAGAGGGGACACGTCCTCCAGGTGGCAGGGGCTGAGGGAGAGATGGTGGGAGAAAGGAGGTCCTGGCAGAAGGAGGCCCACCCTGACCACAGAAGGTGGGGGCGAATTCTCAGCAGTCTTCTCCCAAGAAAACTGCCCCTAACTTCAGCAGGTAAAAGCTGTCTTTCCAGAATGACATGTGAACACAGATGGAATGGAAGGTTTTTAACTAGTACTATGTATGGATTAAAAACCAGCTACATGAAAGCTGGCTATAATTATCTGAAGTCGCTGAGATGCAGAGAACACAGTTTGGTACTGAGCACCTCAATAATAACACACACACACACACACACACACACACACACACACACACACACACAGAGGTTTCTGTAATATTCCTCTGAATATCAGACGGACTTTCCTCTATTTCTTTCCCTGGACACTCAGCTTGTGCTGACTTTAGGACACACTGCTGTCTTTTATCCCTTTGTTACACTGCCACTACAATCTTCAAAAACTGAGATAAAGCTAGAAAGAGATGGTGTTTTATTAAATTGTGGAAAAGGAATAAAACGCTCAACCATGGCCAGGGCATCTGCAAATACTCAGCAAAGCTCTATGCAGAGCCTCCGAGTAAAAACGATGCTGACAGGCACTGCAGACTAAAAAACAAATTTAATTAAAAATAAAATCATAAGTGAATTGAGTAAGTGCACTATATACCTTAAACTCAGTCTGACTTAGATAATGTTTAATGTATATTTAACTCTGGAAATCAGTCTTAACACAAGCATTTTACTGAACATGTAAATAAGAAGCAGAAAGTGGGAACATTTTACTGTTACATATCTTTAGATCATGACATTTAATTAAAGCCAGAGAGCGTTGTAACACCATGAAATTTACTTCCGACAACGGAACTTAAGTCTAAAAATATTACATTCCACTCATCTCTAGACAAGCTAAAGTAAACACAGCATACATGCATCTAAACCAATATAAACATTTAAAATTAATTAGTTTGGTTGTGATTCAGCAACTGCCATTCACATGTGGTGGTGTTAACATAAGGATAAGAGGAAATTCAGACTGACGGCTGTTAGAAACCTACTTCAGTGCATTCTGTGAATCTTGTTTCAGCTCATTGAAGAAAGCGATTTTGAACTGATGTCTAACAAATAAAAGCTGAAAAAGAACAGAAAAAAATCATTATTACGCATATCCTCTTAAAAATGTAAAAATTTCAATAAGTTTTATTAAGCAGAGACATCAAAGTATAAAAAATATTCAAAATCAAATTGGAAGAATTATTCTAACAAATAAGTATTGCTAGCAAGGCTATAAAAATCTATTATTAGGAACTTCAAGGGCAAAAAATACAAAAAGTAATTAGCTTTTAAATGCTTTTAGAAAAACTAAAAGGAAGTGAAAGAAAATATGGGAGGATAAATGGTAATGAAAAAATTCAATTAAAAATAATGTAAAATTGTTGAACAACAATTAAATTAAAAAATTGAACAAATAAACAAAATAATGTAAAATTTTAAAAAAACTAAAACAATAAATAAATAAATAAATGTGCCAAAGCCATTTAAAAACATCAACTTATCAAAGGCACTTACTACCTCCCTCAAACTCCGCAGCACCGAGCAATCTGCTCCGAGCGCTTCTAGCTTCTAGCCTTTCATTCCTTCGGGACAGACAGACACGTACCTGGTGTGTTGTTTTGTTCAGAAACTCTTTGTGAGATTTCACTCTTCTGATCTCGGTGTAGTAGTAAGTCTGCGCATGTTCATAAAAGGCGTTTTCTAATCTTTTAAAATAAGAACATTAAAACACTAAAGTTATTTTAAAACAATCATATTTGTAAGAAATGAAAGTAAAATTCTGACAGCGATGATATCTAGCTTACCTCACGACTAAGATAAAAAATGAAGCAAAACATAACCAGACTTTCTAGATTAAAAAAATCCAAAATTAAAACTGCAGAAAAGCCATTTAAAATTATGTGCTACCCCAAAAGTACTGTATTTTGCTGTGTGTAGTGTGCACATTTTGCCCAAACCTTTAGGGAAATACAAGGATGCGTATTATACATGGGTGTGATGATTACATGCCATGTGTATGTAACAGGCATAAGAATCCCATGCACATGTGGGTACACGTTACACACAGGCGCACACCACACAGGGCAGAATGTGGTAACCGATGAACACACTGTGTAATTTCTAACAATTAGGTACATTCTAAGATGACTTCTACCTTTATTATTTTATCGTTTAGATGTGACTATTTTTTATGACTTCAGTATTTAGGGTTTCAAGAGTAAAAAAACTAATGGGAAAAAGCCTAAAAAATGAAAACAGGCCAATGAGGTGAAGCAACATCTGTGTGATTCAAATCCTGCTCCACTCCTTAACTTTGCCATTCCCCGGGAACACAGAAAACCTGGCTGGAGAGGGCTGAACCACTCAGCTCCTTCGGGGAAGGAGGCAGACCTCCGAGGTGCCCCCTGGGGCTCGGGCTCTGGGGAAAGCGGAGTTCCTAGTCACACAGAGAAGGCGGCACTGCAAGGGTTTCCCTCCATTTGAATTTTTCCCCATGAACATGTATTTTTTAAATAAATGGGTCTATACTACCAATTTCTCAATGTCTAAAAAGAAATCTAAAAAAAAAATATCTTCAAGACCCTTCTTTACCTTATGATATAGCCCACCAGGTGGTCGGTGTGCGGCAGCACAAACAAAGACTTTCCCGAGAGTTCACACGCATTGCACAGAGCTGCAGCCCTTTCTGAAGCAATCACATCTTCTCCTGTTGACGTGACCCATTAAGACAAAGAAGGTAGTTAGTGTGTTCTTCGCAATGAGCATCTCCCCAAATCTGAACACCACAATGAAGAGTAAAAACCCAGCCACTTCGACCATGGCAGGAGGACTCCTGGGTCCCCAAGAGTACTGTGGGTTCTCAGAAGTTACACGGTTCACATCCGATAGGAAAACACTGGAACTGTCTGCTGAGCCAAGACAGGCTAAGTGATGCCAGCACATAAGCCGCAAAACTGCTCCCCAAACCGTAACTAAGAGTGGAAGCACTAACTCATGCGAGTAGATTCGGGATGCCACAAGTTCAACACAGAAACAGAAGCTGTTTTGGCCTCGCAATGCCTGAGGAGGAGAAAGAAACGAGCATCTGAAACGCAGGCATTTTCTAATGGGAAACCAGAAACCGTACTGCATTTTTCTTGGCCCTACTGCAAATTAAGGAAAAAAGTACTACCTCACGACTATAACTTCAAATGGACCTCAGACACGTAAACAATGTTCTTTAAAAGTCAGTAACTGTTTCGTCAATGATATATGCCTAAATCAGGAAACAGGGGCAATGGGTGAGTAGGACTTAGGAAGACTTGCACTCTTGAACATTCTCGTTTTTACAAGAAGCATTTATGCACATACTATTAGTACCTCCTAAAGCAACATACTGTACTTCTCATAACTTAATGCACAAAAAATTTCAACATTAAAATTATGCTTCATGGTAATAAGAATCAGAGGTATAAAGCAACTAACTAGTTATTAATTAACTTTTTGGTACCTGGAGGCAAAGGCGTTTTTTTCTGAATCAGAACCACAGCTACTTTCGTGTTTCTCCCTTGTAAACTTTGCCTGCATTGGAAAGATAACAACATTAATTAAATAATTAAACTGTTTTTTAAAAATATATCCAAAACTTTACATAAAATACAAGTTTGATAATTCAAAGAAAAATAAATTTCAACTAAAAAACTCCCAAGATCAGAGAAAATCTTTTCCTGCATGTACGGAACATAAATGCCAGAGTTACTTAAATTCAAAAAAACAGTCTCACATCAAGCTTCTAATCCTTACAAAAGTCTATTTCGAGAGCAAAAGTTTAATACATACTTTCATGTAAAAGTTATAATGCAGTATCTTTATAGTGACATGTTACAGAGAAGTCATTAAAAGAACTATTTTGAAACTGAAATGGTGATACAGCAAAAGTATCATGCAACTCAAGAGCAAATTACTGTATCTTCAAAAACACATTGTAAATGCAAGAAAAGGCGTTTGGAAACTCAGACCGACTAGTCTTCTAACCCTTTCATCCTGCTTAGCATCACGTAAGTTAACGGCAAAGCTTCCTGTCTGGAGCCACACACACTTCCCTGGAGGTCAGCAGTCCCCGGAGGGACCAACACAGTCTAAGCAGCATCTCACTAGCTGCCTGCGCTCAACGTGCGTGGACAGCAGACCCGGACAACCCAGGGGGCCAACGCAGCGCATGGGGCGACCAGACCTGACGATCTCCACTCTGGTGGCGCACTCCGACTGCTTCTCCTTCCACTGAGGCTCGTCCCAGTCCAGCTCGTAGAACACGACCACCAGGGCCGGCACCAGGTTCAGGTGCTTATTCATCCAGCCCGTCTTGAGGATGCCTTTGGGGATGTACCACTCATACGAAGTTCTCTGCAAGTGGTGGCAGAAGTCGAAGGATTACTGGATGAGGACAGCAGCAGAAACCACGTGTCCTTGGGCCCCAGGCCCTCAACGGGCACTGATCTCACTGGGTAGACACACCAGCCATCTTTAAGATGAGGAAATCCCAGCTTTCAAAGATCAAGAAACAACTAGAACCTCAGCCCCGGAGCTGCGACGATTCCCATTTAAAGAACGATGTTTTTAATGATGTCACGGCTCTCAAATACCCTGGAAGCAAACAGCCTTTTTCCAGGTAAATTCAACTTCTATTCCTCACTATTCCAATTTCTGATTTGTAAAAAGCTGCTCAAATAAACTATTATCTAAAAGCAAACATGGCTTCATTTGATTGAAGACAACACTGCAGGATGGTATTTCACCTTGCTTGTGGATGAAGGGGGAATAAAGGACAATTCTTAAACACAGAAGCCCGACGCAGCCGCTGGGGCTCAGCACGACATGCTGGGTGGTGGGAAGGGACTGCAGCAGATGTGGATGTGAGCCCCTGCCCCCCACCAAGGCGGGGCTGAATCACTTAACTCCCTGCACTGACTCTGCCTACTTCAGCTCACACTGCTCTGATCACTACTTCCAGTGAGGAATGACCACAACAGTAAGGAACCCTGACACACAAAAAAGCTTGAAGACTCAGCAAAGACCCAGGAAAAGGAAAATAGAAAGCTCCTGAACTAGAAAATTAACTGAGGAGAGATGCAGGTGAGTTGTAATGGGCCACTGGCCTTTCTTGACACAAACACATTAAAAAATAAAGTGTAAGGGCCAGGGGTGTGGTTACTTGCACAATTTCAGAGAGAGCTCAATTTTTATGGCTCAGTACATGAAACAGTGTCCTCAATGCGTGGTTCTCAAACACGTAAGAAAAGAATTGGCTGGCGACCGAAGCCATTGGTCCCACCCTCCCAGAGTTGAACTGAGGCCTAGCGTTTACATTTTTAGTAAAAACACCCCAAATGATGATAATGTACTTGGTCCAGTGGCCAGCCCATCAGAAACACTACCGTAGGGGAAAAAAGTCGGGGTCTGGGGGAGGATATTTTGATCAATGTGCCTTGTTAACTGACTTTCAGATCAAACTCATGACTATAATAAATAACCAATCAACATACACAACTTTCTTTAAAAAGTAAATCGACATACTAAGTACTACGTATGTATTGGCTGCGATTATTAATACTATATAATCATTTTTTTAGGTAAATAAGGGTCTCTACTATGATGCTCACCCTAAAAGTCAGTTCTGAACCTAATGCCTTTCCTCTCTCCATACTGGGTAAGTGGTTTTCGTTTACACAGAACTCCCCCAGGACAGAGAGCATGTCTTACTCACATCCTATTCAAATCTCCGTCACCAGCCTACTACACAGCTCTAGGTACCTCACACGAAGCAAGCGCTCCACGAACGTGTGTGAAGCTGAGCTGGAGTGTGAAGACCACGGACTCTACAGTGAACCTGGCAATGATGAACGGAGAACGTGAAACCTTTCGAGACGCCTTTATGGAGACCTGGTCATTTTTTTTTTTAAACAAATGCAAAAAAGAAACCCTAGGTTCATAGGATAAAATCTTAATAATTATAAAGTACTTATTCCTCTAGGGCTAAAAGATAACCAGCACTAAACATGCCTGTAGCGTATTACAGACATGAAAAAGCCCAGGGTTTCTCTGTGCATCACGGTAACCATCACCTTGAAAAACTCAGGGGTTTTCCAGCACAGACCACAGGAGCAAAAAAGTTCACCCACACACAGAGGACAGGGGGAGGAGAGCCCGCATGCAATCACAATGTCATTACCTTGGGTCTGCATTTGGGATACTCGTGGTCACCTGGTAGCACCTTGAAGGAAATCGGTACCCGATCAGCCCTCCGATTGGCACAGAAAGCATCCCAGACGGTTCGGTGGACAGCGTTGTAAACCACATCCAGGCCAGTCAGAGTAACAAATGCCATGGGCCGGCAACATAACTCCACAGGGAAGTCCCACTGCGTGGGGCTCATGATCACGGTGTGAGGACAACTCTGAAATACGAATGTTAAAAGCCCATATACATTTCTAATATATAAATCTCCATTTAAGAAACATTATAGTCCTGGCTGGTGTGGCTCAGTGGTTTGAGCACCGGTCTGTGAACGGAAAGGTTGCCAGTTCAATTCCCAAACAGGGCACATGCCTGGGTCCCCGACTGAGGGCATGCAAGAGGCAACCAACTGATGTATCTCTCACACATTGCTGTTTTTCTCCCTCTCTTTCCCTTTCTCTAAAAATAAATAAAATCTTTAAAAATAATTCTAATTTTTAAAAAGTAGGCTTTAAAAAATAAACATTACACAAAGGCAATAGACTTTGAAATGTCTGCAAACTGTTGAACAAACACAAAAAAGATCAAAATTTTTAAAAACTTTAATTCCTATACTGACCTACTGAAATTTAGTAACTACTGGTATTGTATTTTTTTAAATCTTTCATATTACAAAGGTGGTCAACTTGAAGACAAATCAGTATTTTCGTTAACATCTCCAAATGTGCACAGAACTTTGGAACAAGCAGACGAAGAAAGCAGGGACATCATCAGATTAAAACAGGTCTCATGAGCTACTTCAGCTATAAAGAAAAATAATTACAAATAATCATTGACTTAGATATACAATAAAGTATAATTCTCTGTAATTTCTCTGTAATTGCTAACACCTAACTTCTGAAGTCCTGAGAAATGATTAAAACAATATGCTAAGTAGCTGAACAGAGCTGGCCCTGCACATCCATCCACAGATCTACATATGCAGATTCGACTGGGCTGTGTCATCTATCTGCACTTTCTAGCAGTCACACTAAAAAACAGAAACAGGTGGAATTAATTTCAATAATACTCTAACCATTGTATCCAAAATATCATTTCAACATTAATATAAACATTATTAACATGGTAGTTCACTTTTTTGTACCAAGTTTTCAAAATCTGGTGTGTATTGTACACTCACAGCACATCTCAACTCAAATGCTCAGTGGCTCAGTACGTATGGCTACTGGCTACCAGCTACCATACTGGACGAAGCAGCTCTAAATTATTGTAATTCTGTCCCCCAAATTCCTGCCACATTCTACGTTAAAAGCTTTGGCACTTGAAATGGGTGGTGCTTACTCAGCAGGAGTAAGCACAAAAGCCAGGCACAGAGGTTGTAAGGGTGTCACGACACCGCAAGAGGAACTTCCTCGTCTCCTGGAAGAAGCCAATGACGTGGAAGCAGGTGCGGAAGCAGTGAGTGAACACCCTGGAGGGCATGCGTGTACAAGGGAAGTACTCTGGAAGCTGGTATGGAAGATAATAACGAAGACTCTTTGCAAAGGATGATTATACAGTGCAAAGAAAGACGACCTACTCAAAGTGGAGGATAATTTATGTAGTCCCTATTTTTTAATTAATACGAGTTCAGGGTGTAGGGCAACGCTAATAAGGGTAAAATTCATAGACGTTCAACTACAAAATGACCAACAGAGGGACAACAGTTTCAGGCCTCGATGATCAAAAATAAAAGGTGATGTTGAGGATGTGAAGCAACAACCGATTCAAGAAGAGGCACCGTCCCAGGGTCACAGAATTCTGCCCTGGTAGCGCCAACCAGAAAAGGCGGAGAAATGGCGCTGCAGAAAGTGCGCCCTAAAAGCGCACTTTTACCTTCGTCCCGATCCCCTTAAACCTAGAGCCCTAAAACCTTAAACCATAGCTGCATAAGGGACTAAAGAGAACTGCCCGAATCGCACCCGCTGACGCCGTCAGAAAAAGCAGGCCCCCCAAACAGGCATTGTTTATAAGGAGCTAGCTCTCTCCCTTGGCGGGGTCGCCTGGCCCCGCAGGTCTCCGGGCCCAGACTCACCCAGGCCGCGCCCACTGGGCCCGCTGCAGCTGCAGCCGGTCGTCCCTAGCCGGGGGAAGACGAGGAGAAGCAAGCAGGGGTGTCTAAAGACGCCGGGGCCGATTCCTGCAGCCACCGTCTCAGAGCCGGTGCCAGCAAACCAGGCTCCCCTGTGCCAACCTGCACCGGCACAGGAAGTGCTTTCCGTATCTGAGTGACAGGGCTCTGCACCAATCACTACCCCGGAACTGTACGCGGCTCCACAAAACGTAAGGAAGTTGCTCCATTTCCTAGAAGGGCAGGAGCTAAGGCAGAGACAGAAGGAGCCAATAGGAGAAGCGAGGAGGAAGAGGAGGCGGAGCCGCTCTCGTGACTGCTCTGCTGTCTGGACGCGCCAGCGCCCCGCCAGCTGCGGCCCGGGGCTCAGTCCCCACAGCCGTTTAGCAGGAGGCTTTGCTCTGCCCAAGGGCCACAGGTGCGCGTGACTGTCGTCTAGAGTGTGCATCCGGCAGCCGAGGGCGCAGAACCGGGACGTCTCGCCCTCGGGGCGACTGCTCGCGCCTTCTTGTCCTTGTCGCGAACACTGCCCCCCCCTCGGGAGGCGCCCCACGACCCGCGCGATGAGTGCCAATGAGGACCAGGAGGTGAGTCCCGGGGCTGCACGCGCCTGTCCTCGCGCAGGCGCGGTGCCCAGATCCGAAGGAGGGCTGCTGTCCCACCCCATGCCCAGGTGGGACCTGGCTCTCGGACTAGCGGCCCGGCACGCGCCGTAGCTACTAGAGCGGACGGAGCCTGGCTGGGGTGCCACAGGTTGATCGGTGCCCTTCGAGCAGAGGCCAGGCGCGCGTCCGCCTCTGCCTCCCCTCCCCCACGCTCCGCAATTTTCAGTTTTGCTGTCGGCCTGGGGTCCCCCGAGGTATCTCTAATAGCAAGAAGGAGTGTCTTTGGTCCGAGAACCGGTGGATTTGGCTGGCCTTAAATGCCGTATATTGTTTAGAGCTTGTGAAGTGGAATATTTTATTAGAATCTGATCACCTTTAAATTCTAAATCTGTTGGCATGTAGGGAAAGCTAATTGAATTAGTTAAATCTCTGATGGAGGACAATAATGACTCTAGTGTCCCCTGGCTCTGGCAATATTGTCTGGTAGAATTTCCTACCCACCTGATGCTTTGTATCCAGTGTATACAAAGTCTATTTTGAGCATACATAAAGTTGAAGGAAATGCTGCGTGTCATCTGGAGAGGAACCTTCTAATTTGCAATGCGGAGGACGAAGGGAAGGTCTAAGAGGATTGCCCAGGGCCGCGCAGGGTAGATGTAATAGAATCTCTGGATTATAAATTATGTGTAAAGGACCCCAAATTCCAACAAGTGAGTTGCTATCTCAATCCATTCTTAAATATTCTTGCCAGGTGAGTTTCTAAGCCAAGACATGGACAGTTCTTACTGGGCCGTGTGGAGCATGTATTGTAAGGTTAGATTGTTTTTCCAGGACTGTTTGAGTTCTTGTCCTGCCACTGGCCTGGTTCACTGTCCCATCAAATTGTCGTTGACAGATTTGGCAAGCCTGCCTTCAATTTTTGTTCTTGTCCAGGTCATTAATTGAAATATAGGAAAACATTAAGGACAGTAGAAGTAGCACCGTATTTTGAGTCAGTTTGCTTGTTTCATTGTAATCTCAGTTATTCTTGATCAAGTTTGAACTTCTGTGAAAGTAACCAGAGAAATCTGTGGAACCTTCCTGGAACCCAGGTGGATACTTCGAGCCTTTCCCTCACCTGCCAGTCAAGTTACCCTCTCCGAGAAGGGCTGTTTACCTACCTGTACGTTGTTTTTTATGTGCTTGTTAGGTCCTGGGATCCACTTCTTCCTCTCTGGCCCAGGTCATCGCAAACACTTTCTTTGACAATCCGTTCTAAAATTTTGTCCACATAGATCGAATCCACCCATCTTCAGTTGGTAGAATTCATGATGTGCATTTTTTTAAATTAAAATACGCACCCAAGTGCACAGTCATTCCTGGCTTCTCTTCGCAGATGTTCGTCCATAATCACAACAGCAGTTGGGTCTTCTCCTCCATGAGCCCACAGTGTTCTAGGAAATATTTCCAGGCAAGGGTCTCTAGTTACGTTTTCATTTGCAGTCATTTTCTCCATCTTGGGAGGGATGCTTGTCGGCCTTTTTCTAACTTTTATTTTTTCAGAGTACTTTTTTATTGTCCTTACATGTTTTTTCAAGTTTTGTATCATTCTGTGGAAAGGATTACAAAGGTGAGATATGTAAGTAATGTTCCTTCTAGCCCAGGCTACTCTTTAGCAGAGTGATAAAGGATGCATGCTCTGGAATTTCTTCAAACCAAATCTTTTTCCCTCTGCCTCCCCACCCTGACCGCGGTAGGAAGGAGAAAATAGTGAGATTTTCTTCACAGGATTGATGTGAAAATTCAGTGAGATGATACACTGTAAATGCTTGGTGGTACCTGGCACGTAGTTTCAAAGTAAGTTATATCGTGTATATTATAAACATCCAAGACCAAACAATTCAGTCAAGTTTTACATAGTAGAGTGGGCTTGACTCAGAAACTAGAGACGCTCTACTTCTCCTGCACGTATTCCACTGAACAAAACTCCTGTGCCTCATGTCTTTCAGATGGAACTGGAGGCGTTACGTTCTATATATGAAGGAGACGAGAGTTTCCGGGAATTAAGTCCAGTTTCATTCCAGTATCGGGTAAGACGTGGCGTGAGTGGGACCACTTTGCTAGAAAAGGCTAAAGGTTGCTAAAAATGCCAATTTTGTCTTTCTGAGTCTACTACTCTTTTTACTACCCTATGATACAGTCAGGAAAAGTTGATATTTTCTTAATTCTGTGTGATCAACAGGTCTGAGTAGTTTTGACATATGTGAGATGTTCATTTATCTCCATCATGGAAGTTGCTCATTACTGTTTTCATCATGAAACGGTATCACTATTTTATTTTGTAAACAAATAAAAAACATTTATCCAAATGATTACAAGAAGTAGTGGTTTAGATAGAAAAGTTTTCTGTAATGATAGTTTATTATAGAACTATCACAGGAAGTCCCTTCTTTATAGTGGCCCCATCCGGATCCTCCCTTCTCTGCTCCACTCTCCCCAATTCGTTGTGAGGCCCCCCCACCCTGCCCCCATGTAGATGCCACCAGAGACTTGTGACAGTCGAAGTCTGTAACAGAATTACGTTGTAGGCCCTTCTCTTTGACTCAGACAGCCCCCCAGACTTCCCAGCCACTGCTGCTGCACCTTGGCAGATGGGGGGCTGAGCCTCTGCACCTGCTCAAGCGTCCATGTGATGCTCCCTCAGTTCTTTACTGAGCGCAGTGTGCAGGATGCTATAGGGCATATGTATCAGGTAGGATGGATACTCTGATATGACCAGGAGGGTGTGTTTGAGGGAATGAAATTGAGGCTTGGAGAAGGTGTGTTGGGGGTCAGAGGCCCTGGGGTGCAGTTCTGGCTGTGTTCTTGTCGGCCCCTCGGTCCCTACACAGACAGGTTGGTAGCCTCCTAGGTGATCCTCCTCCCCCGGGGCTTCCTGTAGCCGCCCACACACACAGCACCACCAGGCCCCACCCACTGCGGGTCAGTCTCTGAACACGCTGTTAGATGCCCCGTGCCTCTCTCTGTCAAGGTTTCTCCCCAGGTTTCTCTCGTCTGTACAGTGGGGGTGAAATTCCTCAGCCTGACACTCAGGCCGCCCCTCCAAGCTTCCCCAGCCACTGCCATCCACTCGATACCGTGGCTTGTTAGTATCGTGTTTGTGTCCTGTGTCTTTGGCTTGTCCTTTGCTCTTCCCCCACCCCTCACCCATCAGCCATCCTCCCTCCCCTTCAGTACCTAACTCAGGCCTCCCCTGTGACATATTTGGGCCATGTCTCCTATCTCTTGTGCAATTCAACGCAGAATTGACCATTGCCCATTTCTTCGTACTTTGTTCCGCCACTTTTGAACTTTTAGTCGTCCTCCATTGTAGTGATTTCACAGATGCCCTGTCTCCCTTGAAGACAGGAGTGGCCTTGTCTCTCTCTCTCTGCTGATTTCGGTTCTGAGCACCGTGCAGGGAGGGCAGCTGCTTTCCACATGCACCTCGAGTAAGGACCGAGTGACTGCACGCAGCAAGTAGCCTCTGTCATCTTCCAATCATCTCTATATTTAAAATGCAAGCATATGGGTCTTTAGCTCGAGCAATTACTTAGTCAAGGCAGACACTGAAATACAGGCTTAAACCAATGATGGCCCTTATGGGGATAGCAGCAGATGCCTGGGTTTATTTGTCATCATTTCCAAGCCGCATCTTACATTGTTATGTGTGATTGAGGGTGAGGGTTGGAAATAAAACAGCAGTTGTCAGAAAATAAAGGTGAATCAAGTAACAATTTGGGGGTGAAAAATGTAATCGTATTGCTGTTGTTTAAAAATAAATATTTTCAAGGAGCAGCACATATACTAAAAATATTACAGAAGAGACCGGCATAGCCCTGTGTGGGAACGAGACGCTGATTCATGAATCATTCCATAGTTTGAGTAGAAAGCCACCAGTTTGCAACCACCAACGTGAGGGCTATTTCATCAGGATCATCGTCAGGATTCACCGTCATCAGGATCATGAGCGGACGCTAAAACCTTTGGGTGAAAAGTTGTTGAGAAACAAGGTGCACGCATAGATTTACAGTGTCGCCCCACAGATTCCTTCTTAATCACAAAACGAAAAAGATGCCTTTGCATTGAAGAGATCCGGAGACTTACCTCACCCAGGCGATCCAACGAGTGCAGATGCCGAGGACCTTACGTGCCCCCTGCATCGGCTGTGGGGGGTCCACATCACCTGTGGGCCTCCTTACCGAAGCCCCGTGATCTGGATCTGAACAGAGGAGACCGCCGGGCAGTCCTGGTCTGGGGGCCTCAGGCCAGAAAACTCGCCTCGATTCTCTTTGTCATAAAAGACCTTTAAAAGTCAGAGCACAGGGCTAGAGACTGTTCTAAACTAAGGCAGAACTGCATGATCCGCAGTCCTCGGTGGAGTTTGGCTTTGTGGTTTGAGGAGGCAGTTTATGAAAGGACACTTTAGGTGTGATTGGGGAACGTTTAATGTGGATTATGAGTGGGGTCATCATGTTTTGTAGCAGGGTTAAATATCCTGGGTGTCAGAATGGTGTCATGGGTACAAAGACCAATAGCCCTATTGTTTGGAAACTTTACCTGTAAATATCTGCAAACATTTTCATGGTGTCTGCAATTCAGTTTCAAGTGGTTCAACAAAAACCAAAGGAAAAAGGTCTCACGCACATGTAGGGGGCGGGGCACGGTCCTGTAGTGGAGAAGGAGGAAGAGAAGTAGGTTGTTGGGAACCACCCTGCCTGCTTTCAGGAGCCACAGCCTCCCACGGCTGTGGCTGAGCAGAATGCCCTTCGGGACATAAGCTGCTAAGGAGACAGAAATCTGTCCCCTCTCTCATATGCCCCTGCTTGGTCTGGGCGGATGACTGGTTAGCCAGTGACAGGTAAGATTCCTCAAGGGAGCAACAACCTAAGACAGGCATAGTCACTAAGGGACCACCAGGGAAAGACTTAGGGGACTTTAGAGAAGGGATGGCAGACCTTCACCCCTTGACTTTGTTACAGCCTGAGTCCTCACTCTGTCTGTAAAAAGTCTCCTAATCTCTTTGCTGCCTTGCTTCCCTGCCTGACTCAGGCCTGCAGCAGTGCCTCCAAGGGTGCAGCCCTGTGCTGGAACAGGCAGTTTCCGGGGTGATCAGGCCTGAGAAAGAATGCATAAAATCCTGGGAAACCTGCTCTGCTAGGAAGGCCCTCAGGCTATGCATACTGAATGTTTAGGGTCCAAGCCCAAAATGAGTTAATTTCTCTAGGTTTTAAGGCCAATTGGCGCCACTCTGTCTATCAGATCCTGACTCAAAAGGACCCTCAGGTCCCAGGAACGTTATCTGTAGACCACATTTCCTTTCTTTGATATGCATTCCTGTGCAAGCGAAACTCAGTGAAAGCCCAGGAAAAAAGGTACTTGGGGCTGTTCTCTGAGAGATGAGCCCGCCTTTCCTCCCCAAGCAGATCATGTGTTGGCAGTCATTTCATCTGCAGCGCTGGGGGGACACTGCAGGACAGGGTCCCCCTCAGTGGATAAGAGGAAAAAAGTGAGATACATTTAGTACATAAGATACACATCAGTGAGTGTTCAGTATTCTATTCAGTTTCTCTGTAAGATTACACATTTTCAAAATAAAAAGTTGGGGAGAGCAAAAGACACAGACATCGTTACAGTATCCAAGTGAAGAGGGCCCAAAGGTGCAACTTCCAGTTAAAAATAAGTCCTGGGAGTGTAGGGTACAGCGTGGGGACTGTAGGTAAAAACATTGTATCGTGTGTTTGAAAGGTACTAAGAGTAGGTCTTAGTAGTTCTCATTATAAGGAAAAAAATGTGTCACTGTGTGTGGTGACAGATGTTAACTAGACTGGTTATAGTGATCATTTCACAACATGCACAGGTACAGAATCGTTGTTATGCACCTGGAACTAATACCATGTTATATGTCAGTTGTACCTGAATTATAAATGAAGTAAGTAAGTAAATGTTATCCAGGAGTTGGCTGTTTAGCCTAAGGTGCTGTTATACTTTTCCTCATCTCTGTGCCTTTTTTTTCTCTAAACTTTACGTTTCATTTTTGAGTCTGTTGGAATTGTGCTACCAGTTTACTTGTTCCTAATGCTCCTAATGATTCAGCTGTAGGAAAACTGGAGACCGATTACTCCTCTCGTCCATTCTCTCCTTGTCCTTCCCAGTGGATGTTTGCCCTCAGGCAGCTCTGATGAAACAGCAGCCATCCGCAGAAGGCTGAGAGCCCGTGTGCTCGACCAAGAATTCCTCATTTTAAGGATCATCACTTAATATTCTGTCTCAGTGTCACTGGTTTATAAGCCTAAGATTTCCCTTTTTTTCAGATAGGTGAAAATGGTGACCCCAAAGCCTTCTTAATAGAGATTTCCTGGACAGACACGTATCCCCAGACACCTCCCATCATTTCTATGAATGCTTTTTTTAACAACACCATGTGAGTAATGTTTTGTTGTCATTGGGGTGTTTTTTTTTAACATTCCCTGCGGCTTTTCTCTTAGCGGTGCCTGTCTCCTGTGCTGTAGATCCTCAGCCGTGAAGCAGAGCATCGTGGCCAAGTTGCAGGAGGCCGTGGAGGTGAACCTGGGCACCGCCATGACCTACACGCTGTTCGAGTATGCCAAGGACCACCGGGAGCAGTTCATGGAGCACCACTGCCCCGCCACGTCCACCCAGGTGAGCGCGCCGCTGGCTCACTGGCACCCCCTTTGCTGCCGTGTAGCTTTGATCACTCGTCACTAATTTTTGCCAGCTGTTATTTTTCTAACATTTGGAAAGAGACTTTGTGTTAACCTGAGTTACATCCGAGTTAGATAAGAATAGTGGATTTTAGATCTCTTAGCTTCTATGTAACTTTCAAAATCATACTCTCCAGATTTTACACTTCCTATAAGAGTAGGATACTTCGCGCGCCCACCAAAACCGAGGTGTTGTAGAAACAGTATTTTTTCAAGTTTAATTAATCTCTTCAGAAAGCTCAGAAAGACTTTTTACATACAGCGGAAGTATGTATGAAATTTTATGAGGATTATTTACTCGTAAATAGTGTGTTGCCACAGTTCAGTTTGAAGGTATTGTAGCTTAACGAGACTGATTAAATAAGGAAAGTGTGTCTTTTCTAAAATTATGTAGGAAATAGTCATCTTTCACAAGCGTGAGTGTACTGGCCCCCTTTGCACCACGTTCTGCACTAAAAACTTTCCAGGGGCAGTGCCTGAGCGGTTCCGGCTTCCACGTGCCCAGAGGAGCACAGAACAGCTGGGGAGGCGCTGGGGTGGTAGCGGAGCTCAAGGACTGGGGCCCCAACCTCGTGGGTTCCGCCCTCAGCACCACGTGCTGGGTGACTTGGGCGGGTTTCTTGAGCTCACTGTGCTCAGTTTCACCCCCGGTAAAATGGCAGTTACGATGTATCAACCTTATAAAACTGGAGTAAGGGTGAAATGAGTGTGAAATGAACGCATTTCACAGTGATGTTTGCACCTCCTAAGCATTTTACCTCTTGCCTGCAATAAGCTCTGATGGTGGGAACTGAGACGACACAAGACACAGGGCCCAGGGGGTGGGGGGGCAAAAGGAGGTTTGCAGTCGAGTACACAAAAACGGAGCTTTCTCCTGTGTTACTTATTGTTATTTACCGCCCCCACCCCGCCCCGTATTTTGAACATTTCCTTCGTTCTTCAGGGAACCAGGATCATTAAGCAGGCACGTGTGATTTTTCTAAAGGCTTATTTATTTAAACTTCCAAACACTAGCAAGTGAGCTACACTGTAGGCTGACCCCGGAATGCGAGAGCTTCAGCTCACTGCTGGTGTCAGGTCTTCTCTCCGAGGGACCCGCCCGGACGGTGGCACTGATCCGTGCCCCCCGGTGTGGACTCTGGGGGGCAAAACGGAGCCAGTGTGCCAAGGGCCCCCGAGCTAAAGAGTGAAGATAGTGCCACAGGGTCCTTCCCTTCACAGATCTCAGCATCTTCAGCTCATTTCAGGACGTAGCCATATTTTGTGCCATTCTGTGAGCTTTAAGGCACAGATCTGAGAATTGTTTTCTCCTTCCAGACATCCATAAGCAATATCATCGCAGTTGAAACTCCTAATACAGCCCCATCAAGTAAGAAAAAAGACAAAAGAGAACAACTTTCCAAAGCCCAGAAACGGAAGCTGGCAGATAAAACAGGTTTGTGGGGGTTTTTTTCCTTTGATATCACAAATAGAGGCGCTGCTTGTTACCGCAACGCAGGTGCTTGGTAAGTGTGTTCAGAAGGTCGGTCTCCCCTCTTCATTCTCCGCACGTGTGGGTCGAGGCCGTGCTCTTCACAGATGTCTGCGGCAAACGTTACCCACTCCGCCGCAAGGCATCGCCCCCCAGGGAGGGGGAGGCCGAGTGGCAAGTGACTGTGAACGAGCGTGGACTCTCGGGAACAGTGGGGCAGCGCCCAGACGTGTGTCCTGCTTACACCCTCGCTGACTCGTGGGACTCTCCTGTCTGTGTGCTTCTGCAGCAGAGACGTGATTGTTGAGAATCTTTCAATATGCAGCTTTCAGGTGAAGTCTAGTATGCCTTTGGATCTGAGCACAGTAAATATTCTCAACGTTTTTGCCCGTAGCTGACTTTATGCAAGGACAGTAAAACTTGAGAGTAGAATTCCCATGTGTCTTAAGCCGGGGTTCTTTGGTAGAGACCTTGAAGAGAGTGTCGTAAACTCCAGCTCATACCAATAGTTTTATCCCTTTATATAGCCTGAAAATTTGCAAATTGGTATCAGTTGTTAGATCTTTTACCCAGTTCAGGAAGATGAGGACATGACCATGTGTGCCTACACATGTTTGTATACATGTACACAGAAACATATAGTTTACATCTGTGTGTGTGTTACTGGTGTGCGGTTACAGGCTGCTCTTAACTGGAAAGAACTGCTGCTTTCTTTTCCTTTGGTGAGGAGGTTTAAAATAACGCCCCTTGTTTTATAAAGTGTAGGCAGCTTTTTGGTTGTCTGTTTTATTCAATGTCCGTGGCAGAATAAAAAGACAGCAGCCCTGTGTTGGCCCTCAGAGTATGTTTGTGAAATTTTAACAGTCTGTGCAGTAAGGATCTGGGAATCCATTATGGCGGCGTCAGAGCGGCGTTGAAGTGCAGCGCCACCAACTGAGCCAGTAAATCGTCTGCTGCTGCAGTCTGTTCTCTGGAGTTTCCATTAATCGCTTTTTGGAATCCTTAGCATCTGTTGGTTCATTTCCTGCTGCTTCCAAACATAATAGCCTGAGGTGGTTCCCTTTTACTGCTGCCACCTCTGGGTCCTTGATGGTACCCACCTAAGAGTCGTTAGCATCCTGCAGTCCCAGGTGCAGGCGTGGGAGTCTGGCGTGCAGCCTGCGTTCTAGACAGCACTGCGGGCCAGCTTCAGCTGCCGGGATTGGCGATCTGCCTTCATGCCCCTCATAACTGCAACCGGTGGGGGAGGTTCTTCTTGGCAGGAAGGAGAAAGGAGCCATTAGCATCTGGACTTGAGCTCCAGTAATATTGCTTCTGTTCTGTAAGAATCAAGGAGTTGCTTTGTTTCTCTTACTGTAAAATTAATGTACTTGTTTTGAGTACAGATTTTGAAAGTCTTGTAAAGTGAGATATGGAGATATATCAAACATAAAGGAAATCAAGCCATTTTAAATTGAAGAGTGTTTAGGTTGTATGAATTTATTAAACTATTCTTTAAATTGGAGTATGCTATTCCAAGAACAAAATCACTTTGTAAATTGTAAGTTCTTATAGAAGGGTTGAGCTTATGTTCAAGCTCTCCTGGCAGATTAAAGCTCTATTTTTAAAATGTCAGGTTAATTAATGAATATTTTATCAGAGCACAGGAATTAATGAACAGTTGACCAGGTCTCCTTTTAATCTTGAAGCCAAACATCTGTTTGTAAGGCGTCATGTCCTGAGCCTCCCTTCCTAGCGTGAAACACTAACAGGTGAAACAGTGAACTGACACAGCCTCTCGCTGAAACAAACCATGACCTTGTGCAAAGCGGGAGAATCCTTGTACAAGAGCGTGACGCCGTAGATGATTGGTTTCTCTTCCTGGCATCACCCGCTGACCCCCGCGCTGCTCCCATGACGTCAGGTCTGGCGTGGGCACAGAGGGGTGTGGAAGGGCCCACCTGGGACCCCAGCAGGGAGGCCCAGGGAGAGAGTGCTTTCAGTCGCGGTGACGACAGACTAGGTCTTCAGCTTGGTACTGCGTCATTTCAACTTGTCTCTGTGGTTGTGCAGGGTAGTATGTGAATCTTATTTATTGGAATAGTAACTTAAAAATTACCGATTGGTCTTAACAATACGGTGGCTGTTCTCTGTTCCCTAGATCACAAAGGAGAGCGTCCTCGAGGGTGGAACTGGGTTGACGTGGTGAAGGTGCGTGACGTTTCTGTGCTGGCCTTCGAAACTCCTTGTGACTGTCACTGTTGAGTAACGAGTATTTTATCTTTCATTTTCTCCCCTTCAACATTCGGGTTCCACCGGGATGTCTGCTTCCTCTTTTGCCCTCAGCACGTAAGTATTTGTAGCTGCCATAAAGTATGCATGTGTGTGTAAGTTCATCTTAAGAACGGACATGCTTACCTATGGCTGTAAATTAGGGATGTCACGGAACATGAATAAACAAGTCACAGAAAGAAATGCTTTGATTTCTTAGTAGAAATTGAGTATTTTATTTAGGTTTGGGCCCTCGTTGTAGTTTCCCATCATTATCAAGAAAGATATACTGGTTGTATTGTTTAAAATTGTTTACTTTGCATTTTGAATTTTTCTGCCAACTCCTCTCAATGTTTTCCTTGCACGAATTGTAGCATCGAATGTATTAAACGGATACTTAACACAGTAAGTTACTCATCTTTGTAGGACTTCATGAAATGAGTTTTGCGTGCCAGTGAGTGCTGGTACCGTCCCCAGCAATGAATACTTCTAAGTAACATTTGTCAGAATTGTCTGATTAAGATGATAAATCTCACATTTTTTAACACAACAGAAAATTTTAGAAATTTAAAAAAAAAGAGTATGTTTGTAATGGAAGGCAGAAGAGAAGCCATGATTCATTTTATAAATGGCGCCTGTGTACGTTCTTGGTTCCGATCTATATTTCGGAAAGCTTCCAGGGTCCCCCCTTTGTCCCGTCAGGTGGTATTTGCAGAGACTGTTCTCGGCGCAGTGAGAGGTGGTGGAAGCCGGGGGAGGTGTCAGTTATTGAGCCTTGTTGTCTCTTGTGGCGATAAATGTTTACTGTTGCTACGAAGCGAACATAATGAATTCGATCTGATAACTTACACTGGATGAATAGGTCTTCTGTCTTCTTTCGTAGTTGAGCAAAACCGGCTCTAAAGATGATGAGTAGCGCTCGGGAATCGGAACAAGGGAAGAGCGTCCTTCGGAAGTAAACCAGTTCACAGTCAACGGGGTTCACAGTCTTTTGTCACCCATTTCTGGTATTGAGGTGGCTTTTTATAAAACAGCTTTTTTTGTATGTTTCTTACGTAAAAATGTTTTAAGCTGAAAGTTCATGAAGAGATTTGGTTGTATTAAATTATTTTCACAAACTTGCCTTAATAAAAGGTGACATGTTACTCTTCAGTGTGCTTCGGAAACCTTTTCCGCTTTGTCAGTGGACAAATACAGAGGATAATTAATTGGTGTTAATTTGTGTGACCTTGTTCTGGTGGATGTGATCATTTTTTTAAAGTACGAAGCCCTTTGCAAGAATCTCCTGCCCCGGGGGAACAGAACGTGAGTGAACAATTACTCCGCAGCACAGTCCGTAATGACAGGCTTCTTGTCCTAAGTGTCCATCTCTTTTCCCTAATTACTGAGGCATCAGTTGCTTCAGAGAAATTTAGATACTGGTATTGGAGCTTTACACATCATATTCTTCATAGTTCCTTTCTTCATTTTTCAAGAGTGAGCGGCTTCTCTTTAATAAGTGAGCACTTGTGTATACTTTCCCCTTGGTGTGGGTCTCACTGTCTGGTCGTGGCCGCTTTCCATGGCGCGTGGACGGGGGCACTCGAAAGCACGCCCAGTGGGAACACAAGAGAACACCCGAGCGTGCGCGCTGGTTCCTGCTGGAACCCCCTCTTCGCCGCGGGTGCCACGATGGGAGGAAAAGATGCCTTACTGTTTCACTTTTGTATGGTTGGAGGCAGTGGTTTTAATCAATTTGTTTCTCCGCTACTGTGTATTTTTAGTTGCCTGGTAATTGAGGTCTTCTAAATGATTTGACATGAACCCACATTGCAAGTTTTGCTTCAAGTATTCAAGTGTATAGCTCAACCCAAGCATCTTTGTAATAATAGACAAAGTATTTCAAATGCTCAACTGTGGCACTTGCTGAATTTTTTTAAAGTCATCAATAGAGGAAACGCTCAGTGCCATTTTACCAGGGAGTCATTGGCATCTCCATGGGATTCAGAGTGACGCTGTGACATCCCGGGGGGGCAGTGGGGACGGCTCTTCCTGGGTTCCACCTGTGCAGCTTGGCTGGCTCAGCACGAGTGCGGTGGGGCTCGTGTTCACGGTCTTCACCAGGTCAGCATTGCCTGCGGTTAAGTCGTTCGAACTACAAAGTCAGTGTAATTATGGTGAAGAAGTTCATTCTCATTTCTACAAGCTGAGTCGCATTTTATTTCTTAAAATAACATGATAGAAACATTAAAATCCCAGGCCACTGAAGTACGGTGATGTTCGTTTGGGGTTGTGTGTGTGGTTTTTGTCCTGTTGATCCACTTGTTCTTTTTAAAGAAATAAACCGCTCTGTCTGCTAGTGGGGAAATGCTTTGTTTTGCTCTGAAGAGTCTGAAGTTGTCCAAGTTTATCGTGGTTCATAGCCTACAAAGAATATTGCTAGTAAAATGCCAATGAACTATTTTTACTCTTTTTATATGAAATGACAGATTCCGGGGGTGTTGGTGGCGGCGGGGACTCTGCCTTCTGTGAGTCCCTTGCACGTTCGCTCATCCATCTTGCCATCACTGTTAACACTCCCGAGTGTATTTTCTCAGGCTCTGTTTACTAACAGTTGTATGGAATGACGTAATTAATAAGCAATAAAATCCGAATTACACTCGTGGTTTTCATGTTTTATTTCAAATGACTTGAGGGAGAACCGTTGATTTTATCGTATAAACCTGCCTAATCCATGGCACAGGGTATAGCCTCCTACCAGAAACTGTTCAAACTGCTGGATTAAAAATATGTTTGGAACAAGCTGACAACGAGGTAAGGAATCCCCAGTCTAAAAGATGAAAGTCAGAACGTAGAGGTTAAGGTCAGCTTTTGTTTTGGAATTTCAGAGGTCCCAAAAGGTGGGAGGTGAAGTCCAGGGTTGGTCCGGTAAGTAGCCTGCCTCTCACGCACACAACCCGCACCCCCACGTGCGTAAGTATCCCCAGTGGGGACCCCGGTATCCCCAGTGAGGAGGTGTCTTGTCTTGAACTTTGTTGTTGGAGGGCTAAAATGTAAACATACACACATGTACTGCCCTGACCACTTACAGTGTGTCAGCTGTGACTTGGATCTCGGGCCAAAGTCCTGCCCGTTTGATCCATCTGAAGAAACAGCCAGGATTTTTAAGTGGTACCAAGCAGGTAAGTGCCCCTTGGCAGTGTGGGAGTGACCACAGATTTGCTCCATAAAACCCACCCTCCAAAAACGCCCCAGATAGAGAGTCCTTGGGATGTAAACCCACAGCCAAAACCCACAGTACACAGGAGCAAGGCGCGGTGAGAGCCTGCTGAAGAGAAATTTAGGGAGTGAGAGCCTCAGGGAATTATCGACACTACACAGACTCTTAAGCATTCAGGACAAACTATTATCAAGTAGATTCGGAAGAGAACCCAACAGAACTTCTCAAAGGGGAAAATAAAGTCAAAGAACTTACAGATGAAGTATTGCTCGCAGTGTATAAATACCCTGTGGGATGAAATTGGATTTTGGATTTTCTCCTCTTTTTAAAGACTTTACTTATTTTTAGAAAGGGGAAAGGAGGAGAAAGAGAGGGAGAGAAACATCAATATGTGGTTGCCTCTCACACGCCCTCTAATGGGGACCCGGCTCGCAAGGCAGGCACGTGCCCTGACTGGGAATTGAACTGGTGATCCTTTGGTTTGCAGGCCAGCACTCAATCCACTGAGCCATACCTGCTAGGGTGGATTTTCTCTTTTTGATTATAGCATTAGCATCTCAGTCATTCCATGTCATTTCTTCACAAGACTCAACATTTTATGTTATTAGAGGGAGAGAAACTTTGATTGGCTGCCTCTCACATGTGCCCTGACTGGGGGCCAAACCTGCAAACCAGGCAAGTGCCCTGACCAGAAATTGAACCAGCAACTTTTTGCTTTGCAGGACAATGTTCCAACCAACTGAGCCACACTGGTCAGGGGCACAGGTCCCCAACATTTTAAGTGTCTCATACTCCACCAACTGAGCCAGGTGCCTAGACCCCAACATTTTAGATCGGTTGAGTGGTTCACGCCTTCACAAAGCTGCCGACACTGTAGATGTGCCCCCTGCCCTGGACCCTGTGTGACAATCCTGTGACAATAACAAGGAAGTAAAGGATGTATGACCCAAATCCCAAAGTGTTTGTCAGGCTGCAGTGTGGGATCCATTAGCGACCAGGTCATTAGGGACTTGACCAGCAGTATTCAGCAGGACAAAAGAGGAGGATCTAACAGAAAATGCCAGTGTATTCTGCATGGGGTCAGGGTATTGGGGGGGGGGGGTACCGTGTAAAACTGATTTCTCAGAGGAAGTAACAGTGAACGGGTTTGAAAGCCGTGGATCAGAGCATGCAAGATGGAACAAATTTTACATGAAGACTTATTTTTTTAAATACAACATGCCATTAAAAATGTGAGGAACATTCATCATTGATTTTGTGTTTTCCCTGACAACTGATTCCGTAAAGCTATGTTGCATAGTGTAACGGGAGGAGCGAAATGTTTGATTTCGAGGTAAATCCTTCAACAGCTACACTTGCAGTAACGAAAATCCTTGCCTGACGGGTTTTGCTAACGTGACGACCTGAAGAGAATGTAGAAAAGCAAATGCCTGAATAAATACGTAGTTTCAATGATGTTAGTTTCTTATTGATAAGAACCAAAAATAAGAAAATTAGCTCAATTAGCCCACCATTTCTAGAGGAATTACTGTTTTCCTGCCGAGTTTCCCGTATAAATCTAGCTTCCAAATTAAGTTGTCATAATCGGCAGGTGGCGGCGATAAACAGGAAACATCGCTCCCCTGTGCGTTTCTCCCTGTTCTTCTGCTGGTGTCTGGGAAGCGTTAGGAGACCTTGCGTGTTTCTCCGAGGCCTTCTGGAGCTGTCCTGTCCTGTCCTTTCCTGGGGCTTCTGCAAAGAGTGGGCCCGTGGGGACACCACCGATGTTTCAGGAACAACCCACCTCTTAGCCCAGTGCTCTCCCCTGTCTTTAACAAAAGAGAACGCAACTTAGGAAAGGAAGAGGCTGCTCACGGGGCAGGGGCGCTGGTGGAAACATTTTCGCTTCATACTTCAGTGCTTGGAAATCAGCCCTGGAAGGGTTGCTATCAGGACAGTTTTTAGCGTATGGACAGAGAGAAGGAGCAAGGTTTTCCTTTAATAGGTGGGATTACAGAGGATAAGCCTGGCCGCACGTGGCCTGAATGAAGACTTTGCCCCGCCCCTACGGCAAGGTGCGCAGGGACCCTGGATTCTGCAGAGGGCCATGGGTGTCCCGAATCACTGTCACACCATTTGTGAGGGAACAGACGGGGGTTTGGACGCCTGTCTCCTGGGACAATAATCCCTCGGAGGTTTCAGTAGAAGCACTTTATTAATGTCTACATTCTTTTCATTGTCTATTTTGTATTCTTAAAATCACTTTTTTAAAAGTTCTACCCAATACAAAAGTGAAAGAAATGACAAACCATTGACACCTTTTCCTCCTTTCGTTCTATTTCTCTAAAGATCAGTAAACCTTGAATTTGTCCATTTGCCATTTCAGGTGATTAATGCTGAACAGACCAACCAAATATTCCTGATAGTTTTAAATTGAGGAGTGTAAGGTATTTAGCATCTTCGTGGCAACTGGGAAATCGTGGAGTTTGGTGATAACGATGTCTGTCCATCTGCTGAAAGAAAAACTTAACTCCCACCACATGCTGACAGATGCCATCTGTTACATTTTCCCTTTGTTGCTATATTTTTTCTTTTGTATGGTGATGTTTTAAATTCCTAATAAGGAATTTAAAATTAATTATCCTTTTTATTTTTATCAGAGTCGTACACAGATGTAGTTTTAGATGTCAAATAGTTCTACGAAATTTTTAATGTAAAAAGATCATTTTCTCTGCCATGCTCCTCCTCCTAATTCCTACCCCAAAAAAGTAATTGCTTGCAACAGTGTTTAGTTCGAGCTGACCACAGCCCTGGTGCAGTCCGCTGCTGCCTGTGGCCTCCGCCCCCGACCCCACCGTGTTCCTGCCTGGTGGCCTTCACACTGGCTCCGGCCTCCACCAGGACTGTCCCTCAGATGGTCAGGGGTTAACTCGCTCACCTTCAGATCTTCACTCCAGAAACAGACCTAAATAGATGTGGGAATTTGATACATGATGGCTCTGTAGAAAACATAAAGTCTTCGATACATGGCATTAGGACAACTGATAAAGCCACTGTGGGGGCGTGGGGGGGAAGGCATTCCTCCCTCACACTTCACATCACAGACACTTCCAGACAGATCAAGAAAAAGGAAATGTTGGAGATGCTCAAACATGTGAGTTCAGGATGAGAACACCTTCCTCAACTCTGAGGCCATTAGAAAAATATGAAGCTTGATGACATAAAAGTAAAAAATAGATCTGCATTTAAAAAGTCCATAAATAAGAACAAATGTCTTTTTCTTTTTGGAAGAAAAACTACTTTCAATAAATATATTATATATGTAAAGCTCTTGGAAATTTTCAAGAAAAAGAACAACTTAATAGAAAAATGAGCACAGTATGTGACGGTTTCAGAAAAAGAAACGCGACTTAAAAAGCTGTTCACTCACAGGATAAATTAAAATGGTGGTAAGATTCTGTTTTTCTCTCATGCAACTGACAGCGACCGGAAAGCTTGGTGACACCATTTATTTTCAAAGATGTGAGGAAACCTGTTCTACCACCAAGTTTTTTGACTGTACGTTGATACGATCTTTGTGACAGTTTGGCAATGTCTATCCAACTCAGCCAGGCGTGTGGTCCAACGGTTCCGCGTCTCGGAATCATTCCCACTTCTGTACTTGCTGGGGTGGGAAACATTGGTGAGCACAGGTGATGTCCTGAGTTATCACTACCTGCCCCCACTCAGCACCAGTTAGTGTGTCCAGGCCTCTCCTGAGCAAAAGGCACCAGTGGGACTTGGGACCCAGTTAGAGGCTGTGCGGCCGATGAAAAGAGCGTTTGCATCAGAATCAACTGAACATATTAGAATGTATGTCCTACCACACTAGGCTTGTGAATTTAAGAAAAGGATTCTTCTCAGCCTCAATTACTTCAACTACAAAGTTTGGGGACCCTTCCCATCCTTGCTGAGATGCCCACCTGCCCGGCCTTCCTAGCCTCTGCCCCTGAGCTGGGAGTCACACAGGCCACCGCAGGGGGACTGCCAGGCGCCCTGCTCACCCCACAGGCCGGAAGCTGGCTGGTTAGCTCTTGCTGTACTGGGTGCTGAGCCTTTGGCGAGGCTCAGCCCCTGTACCTCTCATCACAGTAGGCCCCCCTTGTCCATGATTTTGATTTGCATGGTTTCAGTTACTTGCTGTCAACCGTGGTCCAAAAATATTACATGGGAAATTCCAGAAATGCACAATTCATAATTTTTGAGTCACATGATGTTCTGCATAGGGTGATACAATTTTGTGTCCTGTTCTTTCCCGTTCTTTCCCACCTGGGGAGTGACCCCTCCCTCAGTGCAGCGTCTCCACGCTGTGGCCACTCCCTGCCCGAGGGTCACTCAGGAGCTGCGGTCTCTGAGCCTGGATCACCTACTGCAGTAGCACCGCGCTTGTGTTCAAGTCGCCCTTATGTTATTGTTAGAAT